CCCTACAATCAACAATATTTTACATTGCTACTTTTCCTAATTGTTCTATTCTACCGCTGCCTACACTTCGCAACACCAACAGTACCTTTCAACGGACACATACTGACAACGTTACAGAACATACAATAATTAGCTCTAAATAGTAACGTCCAGAGAAACATTAATAAATGACGATTACAATTTATTTCATTTTAATGGAATACAACATTAAATAGACTGCATAAGAAGCGCTAGGACATTGTGTTCACAAATAATGAACAACTTTCCTTCACTTCTCCCATTTCTATGTCTGTAAATTCATGTTGGTAATGCGTGCAAGCGTGGAAGATCTCGAAACGGATGACCTATATCGAACGCGAATTACTTAATCGAGAATACGTGAATCCAGTAAAGGAAACTCTAGACGGCAGTGCGCGCCCTCAATATGGCTGCCTGCGAGGAAATTGATGTTGTTGATAGTTGGGAAGAAATCGAGGAATCAGGGGTTTGTTACGTGTATTAAAATTATTATTTAATAACCCCGAACGACTTAATGATATTCAGGCTACCAAATTCCTTTCTATTATGCGTAAATATTGGTTGTGTCTATATTGGTCATTGGGATCCAGCGGTAGACATTTTGCTTCATTGCACGGAATGTTTGTTATTGGCATACGATGTGCTATGGCACGATTGTGTAGAACAATCTTGTGATTAAATCAGTTTTTACTTATTATCCTTTGTGTGAAGTAAGGAAATTGTGACGTTTAATGTGTACAAGGGGCTTTCTCTAATTGATGTTTTTGTGCCGTAGGTTGCATTAAGCTTTGGGATTTTCTGTTGCGGAAATATAAATTATTATTGTTTCTCATAGGTGCTCGACAGAAAGCTGACACAACCCGAAACACCCTCTCCAGATGACTCAGAAATCATGCCAAGGTAATGTTAAAGATGAACAGAATTTTTCGTGAATGTTTAGAACGTGGTTCTTGATCCCCAGCACAGTCAGAATTTAGACTAGCATACAGTTTCAGCTATGCTTGATGTCACAAGTACTTTATGTTTTTCCTAAATTCCCGAAATGTTACATTAAAATGGAATAGGATAGTGCTGTACTTCTGATCCACGTTAAATGTTGTTACAAAAGGTATATGTTTATACTAGATTATCAGTTGCATTAATGTCAACAGCAGACAGAAATAAAGCTGCTGAGGGGATATACACAAATGTATTTGAATTGAAACTGGATGTGTGTAATTGGTTCCACAAGTGACTAATGGTTTGTGCTGCCCACAGAGGAACATGATACAGTGATGGTTAAATAATTTTAAATTGTTTACACCAGCCAAAATAACTTCATAAAATAAGGCACCAGAGTAGTTCGGTCAGTAAAGTGTCTTGACTGTAGGCTAGACGACGGATTCAATTCCCAGCAGGGAAGGATTTTTTCCTGTGGCGGTCCCATCTGACTTCTTGTCCAGTGGTACCTGGAATTCTTTCCTTGAGGCAACTTTGCTTATAAAATACAAATGCATTTTTATTCATATCCACTTTAAATTAATACATAAATGTTTTGTTCCTGTCAGCAGAATATAATGAATGTTGGTTGCCCATCTTTCAGATTTTTCCTGTTAATAATTGACATTTGATTTTCAGTAGGGGGACAATAAATGGTCCAATAATACTACAAGGAGAAGACAGTCTTAGGACCCAGTATGTTCCTCCAGAACCGACAGTTAAAATCTTGAAACGACCAGCTAGGAATAATGTGCATGGTACTTCTGAAGGACCACTCCTTAATGGCGACTCAAAACCTCGACAACCAATTAAAACTCTCCAACAGGTGTGTACTGTTAATGCAATGGAATTTTATCTGGGATTTTTGTATTTCATGGTGAATAAATTTAGAGAGTGGTTTTCTGGGGAGTTACGCTATGTAACTTTGTAGACAACAAAATGGTGCTTCAGACTTGAAATCAGAGGTGCTGGAACTTCATTGGATAAACATGGCTTAGAGAAACATTAAAGGCAAAGGATTATTTCAGGACAAACAACTTTTCTAATTAAAATTTCAAGAACTATGAATTTTTTTAACATGCAGTAGCCTCCAAGCTCTCTGCATGTTAGCTGCTGCTTGTAAGAAAATATGTAATAATTAAAACTGTCAGAGGTACCAAAATTGTTATGCTACGCGTACTGTTCCTAAGTTACGGGATTTAAGGTTTTCACAGTACAGAGACGGTGATCTTCTGGGTTGTTGCACCATGTATTATTTCAGCTGTGTACCAACATTTTGCAGGAACATGCCTCCTCCATCTTAATGGTGGTGAAGTAAAGGGAGTTCGGAAGTGGATATGGTTTATGAAATGTTGGGAGAAGGGTCAAACCAGGATGATGGTCCAGTCAGAGCCACTTGATGGGGAGGGGCTGCATAGCTGTATCCATGCCAATGGGAAAGAGCCATTATCATCCATTATTCCAGGGTACGGATAAGAGGGTTTCATGGTCAGGGAGGAGGTGTTCTCTCTGTTGATGTTTTTACGGTGGCGCTTCAGCTCTGTGACTTAGTGATGGTCCTGTTGATGCATCTCGATTCCTTGCCCTGGACACTGGGATTTAGTGGACCTTGTCGATGCTGTATTCAGTCACGTGTGACTTATCTTGGTGGAAGAATCGGACATGGCCACGATGCTCCTTGACGCTGGTTTCAGCAGAACAACCAGTCTGTTCGGTGTATACCTTCGTACACTTGCAGGGGATGCTGTACTTAAGTTTAGGTCATCATTTATCTGCTGGAGGAAGTGGGCGATGTCACACATCAGGATACTGCCTGCTTTGCTGTCGTGTTTAGGTAGCATCTTGCGCGCGCGCGCGCGCGCGCGCGTGTGTGTGTGTGTGTGGTCAAAGGTGGTTTCAGCAAAGAACAAGAAGGTCACTGAAGAAGAATCGTCTCTTGGTGGTTTGACTTTCTGAGGTCCATAGACAACATGACATCTGCATGTTGCTGTTGCTGGTTTGTTTGAAGGTTCATTCTAGAACATCGATTCACCGCGGAGGTTGTCGTGGTTGCGTGTGGGTGTGGCCAGGTGTACAGCACATTTATTGCTTACATGAAGAATTCAGCTTTGAAAATTCTGTTCTAATTTGACAATATTATCCCATTAATTATCCAGTAAGTAAAAGGTTGAAGACAAAATTAAATAAGTATAAAGGAAAAATTATGTTATGCTATGCACATTTTGGGTGCAAGGAAACATTTTTAGAAATATGAAGAAATTTAAATTGAGTTTAGGGTGAGATAATTATGCAGTTGATTTTCTGAGAAACGAGTCAGCGACCCAGTGACAGACAATAACAGGTTCAACAGTGTGTCTTTGTAATATCTTTTTAATGTATATTGAATTTGCCTTCTGTTACATATTTGTAAGATAAAGCAAGTTGTCATTATTCTTTTTAACTTCGTGACCCGCACGAGGCGTCTTTCCAACCCATACATTTAGAAACCAATGTTGCTGCTATATGATGCGTTAATCGCATAAATTGAAGTTAAATTACAGTGTGTACTGGAGGAGATAAAACTGGTCAATATTGAGTTGATGATAAATATTTATTCTGGAATTTGTTTCAGAGAGAGCAAGAGTATGCCGAAGCTAGGCTAAGAATTCTAGGTGAAGCACGAAGCCCAGAAGAACAGTTACAAATAGCGACTAATGATAGGTAAGAAATACAAATTTTAAAGTATTGAAAAATTGTTGTGACTACAGTTTTGCACATCATCATAATACGAATCGTGATATTGTGTGTAATATGTATCTGTCATTAGTTTAAGCTTGTAGCTGCATTATCTTCCGTATACTTGTTTGGGCCAAGGGTATTTATTGTCCATTGCCAGTTGTCTGTGCACATTTTTTTCTCTCATTTTTCATAATGAACTTATTCTGTGGAGCAGAGTCCTTCAGAAGCTGATAGCTACTCAGCTGCCCTTTGCGGGACTTAAAGGGTCACTGCCGTGTACATGAGAGCCTGCCCCTGGTGACTGTTCTGAGCCAGATGAATGCACTCCACCCTGTTTCCTCAAGATCCATGTTAATATCCTTCCGTTTACTCTTATTTCTAGTGAACGGTCTCTTCCTCTCAGGTTTTTCGAACCAGAATGCATTTCTCATCTCCCACATGCATGCTACATTCCCGACCCATCCAATCCTCTATGATGTGGTCGCCTTAATAATAATTTTTTGTAACTTGTTAATTTATTGGATGTGTATAAAACCATTTACTACATTATGACTGACAGAGTTGCTTGACGTGCCAGACTATCGTGTTTTCACGTCTGTATATACTTCTTTAAATATAATAAGTATGAAACCACGTTGTAATACTCGAAGTCTGATTAGTGTATAGCGAGGCATTCTTTATCAATGTGACGTACAGATGTCGCAATAGTTTCATAATTGATGTGACGATACGGAAACCTGATGAAAATGAATTCTTGGTGTAGAAGTACGTTTGAGTTTAGTGATGTAACAACGAACACTTTCTGGGCTGCCTTCATCCTGAAAGTGAGTATGTTTTGTATTGATTATATTAATAGAAACTTCCTTTTGTTATTTTACTTTTATGACCTTTGCAGGATTAGTAAAATTCAAACAAAAATGGAAGTTTTAAGAACATCTGAAATGTCGAACATAGTCCGTCTTCCCAAGGGACCAGATGGCACAAGAGGATTCAGTGCCCGAAGGTAGTGGTGGTGGTTTAGCCTTCTAGGCAACAAAAGACATCGTATATTATTTTTGAGCAAGGATTGTGAGTAAACCAAAAAAAGAAACTTTTAATATGCATATGAAATATTGGCATTTTAGCCAGTTTTCATATTTTGGTTTATTAAACGGTTTCGTGTTTGCGATGTTAACCAGTTTGTAGCCTTGTGAAAAGGTGAAGCAAATCGTCCATTTCAACAACTTTTGTGAGCTGGTGCATATTCTGAACAAAATAAAAGATGGTAGTGCCATATTGGCATTGTTATTGTGATTATCGCTTTGTGGTATTTTTGTTTGATAAGTGTGGCTGTATTGACTGAAATCCTGTTGACATTACGTGTGAATGGGTGTTATCTATTGTTCATATTTAGTGGAAGACTAACATATCGATTGCTTTTTTTCATTTTGTATCTTACTTGTGTTACTTAGATCATTGTGTGAGCTGCCAACATTTTTGTGTCTACATATATTTTATTTTGTTTGACAGAGGAGATATTTTTACTGGGTTATATACATCACTAACATTACATAATAATTCAGGATGAGAGTGAGCTGTATTGTGATACTTCGATATACTGAAAATCACAGCACATATTTTCACATATAAAAATTGAGGACTTTCTTACCGTAGTACAGGCGTATGGCAAAAGTCAGAAACTGTTTCAACTGCAGATTAATCCTCCTGTACTAGCAATGAGCTTTTTGCGGCTGCATTGTTTTATTGCAGAAATAAACTGACTGGGATATTCTTTTTATACCACTGGCTACTTTCAAAGGAACAAACAAGGTAATTCCTAGTTATAACTGTATGTCATGGATGACTTGTGCTTACATTATTTTTCCCATATTAGGTATTAAAATAAAGTTTGCACAGCATCTACATACACATCTTTAATAATACAGTAATGACAATATGCATGTACGTTGAAATATTTGAATAATGATTGTAATTGTAATTTACATTTCAGCTACTTAAGTAGCTATTATTAAGTACACAGCGACAGAACAAGTTATATCATGAACAATAAGTCCCATCTTGAACTCATCATATGTTCAGTTTGTCGGTGAACAATAAGTCCCATCTTGAACTCATAATATGTTCAGTTTGTCACACTTGACTTGTCTGATGTAGTTTTTAAGTACCACTTTAAATTATGTTGTAGGTCAGTTTGGAGTGACAATTCAGAGTTTTAATATTATTATTTATGAAAATTAACCAAAATTATTTCTCATTGATAAACTGAAATGAGAGCCACTACCAAAATTATTTCTCATTGATAAACTGTAATGAGAGCCACTTCCTCCTCCCATCCCTCTAATTTTTCTGTAGGTTACGTGGTTTTCCTCACTCCCCTTGTTCCTGCCAGCGCTGTTTACGTGGTTTTCCTCACTCCCCTTGTTTCTGTCAGCGCTGAGTTTCAGAAGTCATATTTGTGGACGTTAAAACGTCTGAAGCATTTATGCACTTTTAAGCACTTCAGCTGGAATTGAATTGACAGTAACATATGCAGAGTTTGTTAATATGCTGTAGGTTAGAGATGGGCACTAGTCGAATCATATGATGAAATGAGACTGGAATGCTCTCAGTCACTAATGTGGCATTTGAGCTTTGTGTCCACCACATGGCTGTCTTCTTTGTTTTTCAGATATTTCACGCTCTTGTACATATTTCCACATTTTCCCTTCTACGTTTTGTTCGTGCGTCATTTCTGGCTTTCTCGTATGCTCTTTTCTTTCCTCATATTTTTGTGTACAAACGTTCTTTTAAATACCTTCACATTATGGTCTCTGATATAATCATCATCATTATTTAAATATTAGCTGTTACTAGTTCATAATTGGTATTTAAAGTTATTTGTTTTAAAAATGATGTGGGCTAAAATTTGAGAACCAAAGTAAGATTTAGTTTCTCCATAGACATTGTTTAAAATCCCAGTCACTACCTGAACTTTTTGTGTGTGTTTATCATGCATGTCAACTGAACTTGGCATTCAAGTTGTTAGCAGTCCTGCTTCATGTATAAAGTGAGGCTTTTGCGGCGACCGAAGTCGATGAAAGACTCTCGGGCAACAAGCCGCATTAGGCAGCTGGATGGTGAATAAACCATTTCTTCTGCCAACATTTCGAGAGCCATCTCTCATCCCCACGAAACTGGTCCTATGTAGCGCTCTCGCCGATTGGAACTTGCTACATAGGACCAGTTTCGTGGGGATGAGAGATGGCTCTCGAAATGTTGGCAGAAGAAATGGTTTATTCACCATCCAGCTGCCTAACACGGCTTGTTGCCCGAGAGTCTTTCATCAAGTCCTGCTTCATATTTGGATGATCCTAGGTTCAGACCTCAGCCTCTTTACTGGCTATTCTGACAGAGGTTATTCGTGGTTTTCCTCAGTTCCTCCATTCAATTGTTTGGATAGTATATATTAGGTCATTACAGCTTCCTCATACATTGTTTTTTAATTAATTATTTTATAATCTCCCTATCATTTGACACTATAATCTGAGCTATTCACAGGGTCATTAAATATGCCAAATAAAATATCAGCTTACTCACCATAATCATTGCAATGTAGGGGTTCAGCCGTGACATGGCCTATGTACAGCGGATGAATTCTGGGAAGTTATTTTTGATATTGAGTGTAGCAATAATAATTCCAGAAAAATGGAGACTAAATTTGAATCGACCCATATTTATTTTGTCACCAGGGTTTGTTTATCCTGACTTTTATCATATTCACATTATAAAGAACATTTTTTTATATTAGTTCAGTTCTAATATAATGCATTCAGAACACTGCTCTTGTTTTTAGGAGCTGCAGTGCAGAATTAGAATAATTCTTTATAGGAAGCATTAATTCTGAGATTGAAGCTATGCAAATGTATTTATTAGTTGATCTTTATAACCATTTTCTTTATATAGCTGAAAGTATAATGCAGTTTATCATTATATTATAATATTAAGTAAAAGCTAAGTTGAGATTTACTGAAATTTTCTTTCAGAGATTTGCACAAATACACAGTTCTCAGATCACGTGCATCTTAACACAAACATAATTGATGATAATGATGCTTTGAAAGATGAAGTCCAAAAACCCATGATATGCAGAAGAATTGCATAAGTTTAAAAAAACTGTCTTATATAGTGGAAAGTGGGCTGTGTCAGTGGATTTCATGTAAATTTGTGAAACAGAAAAAGTGTAAAATGGCAATTTACCATGTATATAATGGAATATTGGCACATACATTATCTGCTTCACGTAATAAATATAATGCTGTCTTTACCTTGCTTTGAAGTACATTTATGTGCAGGTATGATTATGTTTGTTAGTGGATTTGAATGTGTATGTGTGCGTTCACATTCATATAAAGGAGTCCCAAAGAGACATATACACACAAGATTATATTCTGTATTATAATGCGTATTCATCCTTTTGGGACACCCTGTTTACAGAATGTATCTTCACATAATGGCCAAACTTCAAGAGCATATCCTATAGGTCTCTTGAAGAGAAGTCTAATGAACGTTACTCATAACTTCTTCTTTTTTTTCTGAAGTATATTACTAAATGAAGTTCAACTCTTCTGTGAGTGTACAAATAAATTTTCGTTAACACCTCTGCCTGAATTATCACCAACTAAAACGTTTTCAACTACATTAAGTTTTTGAGATGACTGCCTTTTCGCTCAGGTAAATACCGCTATGCATAGCTCCATTGAATGTCTAATGTTTTGATGTATTTACATTTTGTTTCTTATTGCATCGGAGGCTTTGTACGCCCAATGAACTGCTAACCTTCTTTCTGGCTTGCCAGTATGGTACACCTTGCAGTTTATACAGCCCAATAATGTAAGTCCACTGGGGTCAAGTATGGTGACCTAGTTGGCCATACAATTTATCCATCTTTTTTCTATCCACATTTCTTGATATCTGCATTCAAGCATCCTATAACATCTCTGCTAAAATGTTGAGGTGTGGAAAGGGACATTTTGTAACTGAAGCTGTGATTTATTCTTGAGAAAAGGTATGTAAGAAGCGGGTGTCAAATGTGCACTGATGAACTGCAGACCATAAAGATATTTGATCACCACTCCACGCCCTAATTTTAACAAAAATCTGTTGAAATTCCTTTTCACTACTTCATGACCAAGAAAGCAAATTTCATGTATGGGTGTCACAGTCATGTCCATGAACAAAATATAATTGATAAGTTGTGGTTGTCATCTGTAAAATTGGAGTGATCTGGTGAAACTTGTTGCAACTTTTGGACAAGGTAGGGGTAAAATCCATCATAAATCCTCCATATCTGTGATCATGATATAACCAGTCTTGGCAGAAATTTGGCATGCACTTGTGTGTGGGCTTCACTGAACAGCAACAAGCACATCACCTACCTTGTCAGTCGCAGGTCCTCACATTGTAAAACATGTTTGAATGTGGAACTCTGTGATGTAGAATGTGCTGATGATATTCTGCTACGGTAGCAAAAACAAAATCCAAACACAAAATGCATATCAGAATATTAATGTACAAATGTGAAAAGTACTTAACCAATAATCCTGAAAAACAAACAGCGGCATCTGTTGATACAACAGTCGGAATGAAAGTTGCAGTGATGATTTTCTGCTGCACTAGCATTTGGTAGTGGTAATGACTAAAACTAATCAATCTTATGCAATATATTTTTTTTGTTTCAAATAACATTTAAAATATGCTTTTGGAATCTGGCTATTATGTGGTGGGAGACCTATGTTTATGCATCATATTGAGTTTTGATCATAAGTCTGACTAATATGGTTAATTTATTGTATATCTGAAGGCCAGCAGTTTTTTAATAAGACTAAATACCTTTATAACATCTATTTTACTCATACTGCTTTTAAACTAGGTGGCTTTATATTCAGAATCTAATATATTCATTGAAACATGATTATTTTCATAATAATGTGTGATGATTTTCCAAGGGAATATGTACTGTGATTTAATGAAAATTCTCTTTAGAATTTTAGTTAATATTTTATGGAAGTGCTTTTTTTTATATGTAGTGCTCCGTCTTGTCTAATTCTTTACATAACACGCCTGGTCATACTGTAATAATATATCAAAGTTTGATTACTTGGAAATCAGTTTGGTAATTTTGTTTACACTAAGGGTCAGGAACATTTTTTAAAGAACACCAATATTGCTGTAGCATCTGAACAATAACTTAAATAAATTTGCTCTGATGTCTAGTATACTTGGCATTGAAACAAGTCAATTAATGTTTTGGGAACATCTCATAGTGATAATGAGGAAGAAAATAGGCCTTGGAAGTATGTCAGCATCTATTAAATTATTTTAGGATGAAATGGGAAGGCATTGATTTTATGTATTTGTCTGTTTACGTGATTTTTTTCTACGTTATTATTAAAATACCATGAAAATGAAAAATTTCAAAAGCATAAATGATTTCTCATAATATTTCAATGTTTTGTTTACTTATGTATATTTTGGCTATCCCATCTGATGTGCTGTAGAATAAATACAACAGTAGCAGTAACTCATGACTACCGATTTTTGTAAAGTTATTTAGCATGGATCAGCAGTGGGGATGGTAAGAAGACCTTGCTAATTGTACAGATGACAATAGAACACAGTTATTATAACTATTTTACTATAATGTGTATTTTATTAGTAATTAAAGTAAGAATAATAATTTCCAGTGGAAGCGAAATTGACTTTTCAATTCAATTACATGAAAAGTAGAACATTACTAATAGTGATGATTATTATTAATATTACTCTTGACCTTTTATCAGCTAGGTTCAGGTTATATTTTCTTTGTCACTATGCCTACGACTTATATATATAAATACCAAGGATGAACACCATTAACTGTTGCTGGGAAACCAACTTGCTTAGTAGAATGTGTCCATCATCTGTAATCCCTCATCCGTTAATTGTGATTGCAAGATTGTGCAAAAATATATTTGGGGAGTTGCATTCTATGTCAAAGCCATCATATACTATTTCTAATAGTTATTTGGTTGAATACCACTTTGGAGTGAGTGGTTCATCAGTGTTCTGACAACTAACATGTGGATTGTAGATAATGAATATTGTTCAGTACCCGTGGTTAATTCTGATGAGCTGGATGTACCACTACATATCATATGAATATTCTTTCAGCTTTAACTGTAATTTATTTTTATCAATATAGTATACTGAAGGTTTTGTTCACTACTTTCACAAAAATAAAGAATGTGTGTATGCGGTGGTTCAATTTGAAAGATCCTGAATATAAATGTTTTATGTTAATAATGCCTATTAACTAAGAAAGAGCATATAATTATAAAACCAAATATAAAAAACTGTGAGATATTCTGCTTATGAAACAAAAAAATAAATATTGTGTGTCTCATTTATCTTGGCTTCTTACTGAAGGGTGACCGGGGGTTCAGAAGTTAGTGTAATGTGCTCTTCTGAGTACTACCATCCAAAATATTTCTCTGTCCTATGCAGTGTGCATGTGTACTAATAGAGTTACTACCACTGTGCAGAATGTTATTTAATAGATGACTACCTACTTTAATGTCTTGCATAAACTAAGGCATAACAAATCAAGCCAGAATCAGTGCTATGGAGTGTAGATGCCAAGTAAACTGACGCATACAGTACCATATTAATATGACAAATAAGTTTGTGACTTACATAACATAAGGTAAAGGAATTCGTTCTGAAGTATTCTATTTACATAATGCTTAAGTCTGGAAAGAGCTCAGTTATTATTATAAGAAAATATAATTTTTATTTTTTTATGTTTGTATCACAAACACCAATGGACTTTAATATAGAAGTTTAAAGCATATGAATTTGATTTACTTGGTTGCAGGTTTATATATTGCTTCTGACATAAATGTGTTATATAGTTTTTCACTATCAATCATTTGAGCATTTTATTACTTCTGCCCTTTGGGGGTATAATAGTTTGCAGTGTGCCAATCCACAATTCAATTCCTCTGAGACATAGATTTCGTATGATATCAGGGTTTCCAAATTATTCGTGGCATATGAGTTGTCTTTATGGGTGGTGGAGGAGTTATTTTGAAGGTTGAAGAATAGTTTTCTTCCTTACCGATTGGGCTACTCTCATGTCGCTATTGTGTTTATTGAGAATGACACACAGGTTGCAGGGCAATGTGCACGGCTCTTCGTTCCGACAGATAGTATTGGAGATTCTCAGCCGTGTTCAATGTGACGAAATATAGTTTGAGAGTTGTTGATTGTTTCTTGGCGGTACGGACAATGGATGAATTTCTTAAGCTGCCATGGTACGTAAGGGCCCTTGAAATTAGTCTCGTGTAAGTGGTTTTTGTTTGCATGTGGTATTACGAGCATATTTGATTGCACGGAGTAGGACACCATCTCTCATGTTTACGTTATCGTACTTGATTTGTGTGAGTGGAATGTGGGGTAAAGAATGCCTTTGAAATGTTAACTTATTCTAGTGTGTTTTTGACCTGTAACAGATCACTTGCTTATTCCCCAATTTATAAGTTGTAACTGTTTCAATCCTTACCCTCTTCAGTATGCCCCATATCTGTCTCTGTCTCATGATGCATTGCAATTTGTGCAATATTATTTCAGGAACAACCCACAAACAAAAGAGGGAAACTTAAGTTTTATAGATGATGTTAACTTGAAGAAATATTCCTCCACATACAAAATATTGCACGGAAACTTGCAACAGGTATTCAGTGATAATTCGTCTTCGGATGCTGATGATGTTGGCACTCAAAGGAAAGCAAAGAAAGAAGGAGGTGACAATTCACAAGAACATTTTAAAGTTACAAATTCTGTACAGCGATGTAAGAAGCCCAGTTCTGTAAGTATGTTCATATTTATGAAGTTATGTAGTGTGTATACATAATTGAGACCAGGATTAATATTTATTAAAAATGTGACTGTTTATACAAATTTGCATAGTCCTATCCATTTGTAGTTTGTTATATCTGCAATAGAACAAATTTGTAAAGTTAATGTTTGTACGGGTTTACAGCTATCATCTGAATTAACATGTAAACCTAAGAATTCAAAGTGTGACAACCGGACAGAGAATATATATTGTGTACATGTTGAAAGGAACTACTTCAAATGTTTCAGGTGGTGAACTGTACCTCCTGACACCCTGACACAGAAAAGTTCACTATGCACAGTCGTGTATCTACTTTTGTTACTAAATGTAAATTATGATGTATTATGCCAATTTATAATTTAGTTTATGTATGGATTTTAAATTTTTTTGCAGCTCGGTGGATTAGGTGGTGTACAATATGTTCCATGTTACAGCGATGAAAAAAAAAATTAAATATCCGAAGAAGTCATCGTTAAATGCTGAACAACAAGCCATGTACCTGCAGCTACTGGTTAAATTTGCAAAAAAACATTCACCATTTCCCACTCCACTGGAGCAGAAAGAATTACAACAGTATGAAGTATGTACATTTTCATATCAAGTATCTCTGCAGTGTATTATTAATCCCATAAACACTTGTACACTTTGATACAGAAATGACTCGAGTGACACTCTAGTAAAGGTCGCCATTGTTGCTGGGACACTGCTCACGCCAGTTGTGTGAGAGCTGCCCAAGTGGAAATGTGTATTCACGAGCAAAATGTGCGCGCATTACGTTTCATCACCATTGTTTGCTGCTGTTTGTGGAGCATGAATATTACGTATCCTGACGAGGAAGTATCAGTTAGGACAAGTGGTCGCTGAGTGACAAAAACTGCTGAAATTATGGCCACACAAGTCTGAAGCGTTACTTCAGATGCAGTAACAGGATAGGGCTGCAAGAATTGAATATTGACATTGTTTTTGTCATTTTGTGCGTGAAGAGTCCTTGTGTATCATTAAGGGTTGCATTTTAAATAAAACATTCTGTATATTATGAGGCTTCAGAAAAAAATTCCTCCCCCCCCCACCATGTGAAGAGAATTCGAAAGATTTTTTGCTTTGTGAATAAACTGTATAGCACAGGTGGTTATATGTGATATCCTTAGTGATGAATATATATTGATTGATTGATCGTGATGATATTTCTGTGTTGATATTTTTGACACTGATCTTTGTTTCCCAGGCATTTCATGATAAAGTGGTAGCGGAGCGTTTTGAATTCATTCATTTTGTTAAGCAGCGGTGTGCGTTGACCCAAGACAGATATCTGGTGATCAATCCGGATGTAAAGAAATATATTGAAGAAATGTGGCAAGTAAGTGTAAAATTATACTGTGTACAGTGTATGTTATTTTATTACACCCATCAGGTATAATTACTCTATTACCTTCTTCAACTCTCACACCACTTAAAAGTTTTTAAATTTTTGTTATATCCATAAGCAATGTGTATCGGTTGCCCTTTCCTATTATATTTTGAATTGTGTTTACATGCAAGTTGCATTATTGGCTTAATATATACATTCAATAGACATACCATCTGCTACGCTCAAAATTTTTTTAAATAACTTCTCTATAACTATTAACTCTTTTGACCCATTTACACTCTGAAACCTTTAATATTTTAGCTGGAATCTTATTTATGTTTATATATATATATATATATATATATATATATATATATATATGTGTGTGTGTGTGTGTGTGTGTTATGAGTAGACCTCATTTTAATTTTTAATGGCTGCTTTGAATCATTATTCTGTTTCAGCATCGACTATCTCGAGCATCAAAATATCCGGCAGATTACGAGCCTCTACGACTCCTGCCGCTAGTATATTCTGATAAAAAGAAACCTGTGGTTATGAAACTGGAAGAAAACCTGCTGGAAGTGGTATGATGTGTTCTCTTTCATGAATTTTACATTCCACTTCCTAATTAGCTTCCGCACGTTTATAATTAAATTAATCTCGTTGGTCACGTTACACGTTGATTCACCATTTTCCTAAATTGTCAACTTCTTTTACATGGCATCTGAAACAGTCACTGGTTCTACAGAGACTAGTGTCATAACCCTTGTAATTAATATTCACTTGCGTTATTTAAAATGATACGTACAGTATACAATACACACATTTTCTTTCATGAAAAATATCTACGACAGCATCCAGAAATCCGTTTGAGGATATCTGTCACCAGGCATCACAATCTTCCTTATCCTTTCCAATTTGTAATTCACAGATAATTCTACCATTTGATATACAGTGTGTCAACAAAGTCCCTTTGGGGTTTTGAAAAATTGTGGCGAGCAAACAAATTGAGCTAGCCACATGTGGTTTGCGGCAGATTACAGTGAAACTCTTGAAGTTTTTTACTGACCTCGATGTGTTTCAGAGGATCATATTGCCTCCACTTTAACCTGAAAGGTTCATTCACATCCTTAAATAAATTAAGAATCAACACATCCTTGGAGTTTAATTTAATGATGATTCGTTTTCTGTTTAGGGTTCAATTCCATTTATTTTTCTGCCAAAATTTAAGAATCCAATTCATATTCCTACTGATTATTCAAGAATGAGGGCAAGATTCCCACCTGAATCTGATGGCACAAGAAATACTTTCAAAATTCCAGGTAAGACCTGATAATAAAGTATTTATCGTGTTAATTGAACTTAAATGTTGAAATATACTGTCAGAAATGAAAATGGCTGTCTTCTGGGATGTTGCGCATTGCACCCTGGCAGTCAGGGTACCTTAATGATGCAGGCAGTAAGCGTATCTGAAACTTTCAGCAGTGCAAAGTGATGGAGAATAATAATTGAATTATCTTTTTCTAAACAAGGACAGTAGGTGTGTCCCACTCAGACAGAAACTTTATGTAGATGTGTGCAGTAATTCTTTGTACCAAGAACACACATAAAGAGAAAGTCACATCGATCTGTTCATATCATGCGTCCTCGTTATTATTTACAGTGAGTGAAGATAAGAATGCTGAAACGTTTGCTGTTGCCGGTGGAGTTCATGTGGTGATATCTTCAAGTGCTTTGAAGCGTATTACTGATAATCATCCACCAAATTTTGAAAAAGCTTGGGACTTACCAGTAATAGTAAAGGAATATAAGCAGTGTGGTAAGATATTTTAATTTGTACCATTTTCCGACCCTAGATATTTTTCCATTAGTGGTTGATACATCCAGTTATCTGATATACCTGCCCAGGGTTTGCCTGTATCAGAAGTGACGAGATTGACTTTAATAATCCATGGCGGTAGGATACGATGGCTCGTCAAAGGGGTCTACAGCATAATGTGCGGTCTCAGCCATGGTAAGGGGCCTGGTATTCCTCACACTCACATTTGTTGAATGTGGAGAAGAGAACAGCTTGCAAAGTAGTCGACACTGGATCTGGTTGGTGTAGATCCTAAGGTAATTTTATCCCTGGCGCTTAAATTTTAGTGTGACCATCATGTTAATATCTTCTTAGAATGCGGGCAATATCGGATTGCTTGGTAAGTTGTATGTATGTTGTAATTTGAAATTCTTTAGAGATATGGGTGATTGTAAATATTGAAACAGAAGTAGAAGGAAAGAGTCTACAAATACAATAATATTAGTGCATAGAAAGAACACGTGTTTCTGATAGTCTACACATAAAATACACCTGCTTTTCAAATTGATGCATTATTGCTTTTCTTTCTTTCAGATAATAAAGTTGTTAAGGTTGTGTACCTGAACAAAGCTCTTCCGCCAAAGTGTTTGACAACTGTTGAAAAGAATACGTAGTTCCATAAATTTGGCGTCAAATCATTGATATGTAACACATGGCAACAGAAGTGTTTTCAGTAAGTGGTGTCTGTACTGAGGCAATAAATAGCGCTGTTAAATGTCCCATGTCTATTTGCGCTCGTTTACTTCCTTTATATGTTCTGAAGGTCTCTTTGCATCCTGCTTGTTCAGTATATTCAGATGCTTCTCACTTTTTTTTAAGTGTAAGACAAAGTGCTTAATTTGGCATTTTTCATTTTCTTTTTCTCCTCCCCAGTGAGGTATGTTTTATGTCTTGTGGTCAGGTTTAAATTGTTTCATGGGTGAGAGGCATTAACACTTTAATATTTTGTATAACTTCAGCTTTTTGGCATATGCCATCCTCAGTATCTGCCAAAACACTGGAGAACTCCAACAGTCAACACAGTTTATCCCCAAAAAGTCACCCCTCCCCCCATCTGACGTACTATAGAACAGTAATATATGTGTCTTTTAATTCAAAATCATACGTCTGTCCCCGCAAATCACTTTATCGGTTCTTGTAAATTTCCTGTTTTGTTTTCATCTAGTGGAATATTTTTCACATATTGAACATCACTGATTGGCACTTGTGATTTATATTTTGGCTTAGAGACTAGCTATGCTGACTGATTTTCCTCAATGCCTCCACAAAGACATTGCCATCTTTACAGCATATGTATTTAATGTGTTTGTTATTTCAGATTGGAAAATAGGGGAACAGCCGACATGTGTACTACGTTGCAGAGTAATAAAGATGACTTTAAAGTGGAAGGTACAGGTCATACAGAAAGCAAACACAATTCAGATTTTAACACTATAGAAACGTCGGATAGCGACGATGAGTTACGTTTCTCAAAAACCGAAACAAAAGAATCTACAGATGGGCATGTAAATAGTTTGAAGAGGAAGCACAGTGAAAGTTGTAACGACAGTGATATAGAAACGTCGGATAGCGACGATGAGTCACGTTTCTCAAAAGCCGAAACAAAAGAATCTGCAGATGGGCATGTAAATAGTTTGAAGAGGAAGCACAGTGAATGCGAGTCAGATATGTCAACAGATACTGAAAACAGACTAGTCATTGACTGCAGTGACTCAGAAAGAAACTCCAAAACACCTGTCGGAAAAAATAAATGTGCACAAAATAATAATGTTGAAGATGATTCTCGAGTTACAAGGAGTAAAGCAAGGTTAATAGAAAAAATGTCGTATGTTAATCAAAGTCTTGGTCACAAACCAGTACAGTTTGTTACAAACAAAGAATATGAAATAGATAATAAGAATTTGCGTGAAGATACCTGTAAGACATTTGATGGTAATGATTTGGAGAAATCGTTAAAAAATGTAAGACTGTCCGGTTGTTTTGACAGTAAAGATTACACATTGGATTCAGAAGTCGCAAATAAAATGTCGCATGACACTGTGAGGCCTGAAGAAGAGCATGTAGAAAGTTGGAGTATTAATAAGAGTACGAGAATAGATGAAGAGCATGTAGAAAGTTGGAGTATTAGTAAGAGTACAAGAATAGAGCAAGAGTTTCCCGCTAATGAACCCGGTTCTGCTCAGAAGCTGATAGATGTAGACGCGGAGGCACAGGATGCGATGAAGGTTGCAGGATTGAATGTCTCGACTCCTGGCTTTAATGTGTCGTACAGGTTATGGAAACTGAGTAAGGATGAAGGTCATCCAGATGATCGGAAGGAAGGTTTTCTGAAAGGAAATTGCGCCAGTCATGAAATTAAAGTTCTGGTGAGATGTAAAGTTGATGGCTATAAGGTAAATGTATAGCACTTTATAAAATGCAAAATTGTTTTTTACTTTCTTGTACTTTTCTTAAAGTTTGAGATTAGTTGTAACCAGGTATGCACTGAAATAGCCTAATCTATTCTGTGATGCATTTCAAGGATAAAAAGGGATGGTATTAGACTAACAAATATTTTTTGTCTTCTTTAATTCTTGTTAGTAACAGTTAATAAACAGTAAAAATTGAAAACTGTATTGTATTGGATGTTTTATACTTTTTTATTTGTTTTGAATTGCAGATAAACTATAATAAATTACAGAGATTTTGTGTGGTTCCAAAAATGGAATATCTGACTGAATATGGAGCCCAGTGTTTCACACAGAGTGAACTAACTCAGCAGTGGATTTCATTACATGTAAGACCTGGAACTGATTTATATAGAGGTGTGTTATTTTTTTGTGCTATTGGAATATTGCCGTTATTTATAATATCTCCTTAAAACTACTAAACACCGATTTAAGAAGTACTGTTATTATATTTAATGGAATGTAAGATTTAGATTTTTTACTTTTATTTTCATTAAAATATTGGATTTTATCTTGCATTGACCAGCAGAACGGTAAGACTCAATTGTGATTCAGTAATGATTTCTGGAAAAATAGGCATCATGAGAATCTGATTTGTCTTTAAATTGTGTATCCAAATGGTATCAATATCAGAATATGTTCAAAGCAGAACTAACTGGAATTTCATTGTCCCTACGACTATACTAATTTGTAATTTTTAAATTATACCTAGTGCATGGGTTTTTTTTTTGTGGTGCATTTCGTAATGACATGACATTCACCAGACTCGATACCAAATTTTTAATGTTTTGCTTCATCTCAGCTGAGGAGTGATTCGTTAAGTGGAATGCTGGATTTGGGAATGTTCTCATATTGATACTCTCTCAATATATGAGTTCCAAGTTCTGCCTCATTTACGTGTTAGTCTGTGGATTCGGAGTGAAAATCGACGGTGATCATTCATCGATAAATTAAATTCTGGTGCACAGTCTATAGAATTCAATATTCACTATATGTTGGCAGTACGTGTGAATGCCTGTACGTCAGAAGTCATAATGATTGAACGCCGTTCACTGCAGGATGTAGCTCAGGAAACTATTCAGCAAACAGGTCGTCCTAACAGCATCATATTGGGAACACTGTATAATGTACTGCTTGGCTTGGTGGACCTCGACCCAGGAAGTTATATTCTTTCTCACACTCCAAAGTTGGGTGCATTTGTTAATCTGTGGCAGAGTGCAAGGTAAGGAAGCATTTTTTTTATTATTATTTAGCTGGTCCATTTTTCTGTAATGTTTTATTGATAAGCAAACCTATTACCCTATTATTTTACTTAATGTATCAGAAAGGGTTACATTTCAAAACATTTTCATGTTGTACAGTTAAGAGTGTCATTTTTATTTTGTGTCTGATTTTATTTGTTTGGGGTTTATTTTCAGTATTTTGTGTCATTTGAAATGTTTCTTTAAATTCTCAGTTACGTATTTTCATGGCGTAATAGGATACCAGCTTTATTGCATGGGTCCACTGCTCAGTCATATTAAAATTAGAGGTCTGTATCGTACAGAATCAAAATTTAAAGTATTCCACTAGAATTGGCTTGCATCTTACTATTTAAGGTATCTTTTTGAACTGTTTTTTTTTCTCTTAAACTAATGTGTTTACAGTTTATTGCTAATGCTGTTTGCTTCTGTATTTATTTCTTAGTAATGGCCGCTTCAAGCTTCATGATATGTACAAAATAGATCCAAAGACAACATCAGTAAGTGAGAGCTCATTATGGATCCCAATTGATCACAGTGTTGTTACTCCATTTCACAGAGCTTGTAATAGAGTTCCAGGAACTTTCCCACCAACACTCTTTTTCAGAGGTATAGTAAGAGGAAATTTGCCATTCCGATAATCTATAGATATGCAGGTCAAGTTTCATCACAGTTTTCATATGTCATGTCATTTATGATTATACACTTTCTTATGAATGTTGAGAACTGGTACATTATAAAGTGTTAATGCTAATATTGAGCATACTTGCAAACTCTATATAATGCCAGTCTCAATTGAATAGCCATCAGATATGCTGAAGAGACTAATAATTGTGTTTCTGAATACATTTTTTATTGTATGAGAGTGATGATATTCTTCTATTTTCAGGAAAACCTGTTTTAAAGAAGAAAAACAAAAAGAAAAAGAAAAAACAGAAGCAAAAGAAAGAATAGAAGCCATGAGAATAAGGATTTCTTCAGTATTGAATCCAAATCAATACTTTCCTCTTTGCTCTCTGAAGTCTGCAAAAATTTTGAAGTATTTTGATGTTTCAGAGAAATTCATACACACTATATCAATAATGACGAAACCTTTGTTGTGGAAAGAATGTCTCTTTAATAAGTTAATTCTGTACGTGCAGTAATAAAGAAATTCTGTGTCGAAGAAACAATGATTCTGCCATATCAGAGAAGATGTTCTTATCAGCGTTGATGAAGCGGTTAAAACTTAAAGGTTATGAAGAATGAAGCCATTTTTAATTGAACTTTTAAGTCGTCAGATTACATATGCAATATATTCTGGGTGATTTGCTGATGTTGAGATGATGACAGCATGTCAGATACGCCAAAATTGAACTTGTTATTTTGTTGCTGAAATACTTTAAATTAATAGGTGTTATATACAGATATTGTTCACTCAGTTAAATCTTAAACGTAATTGCAGAGAAAATTTATATTCATGTTTCATTTCCAGACTGACTGAAAAAATTATAATGGTAGCTAAAGAATTCCTTCCAATATGTGGCATATTCAAGTCAGGTAATGCTTCCTGTTATGCAATTCAAGATCTTGTGTCTTCCCGTCTGCTTTCTAAAAACAGAGATTAAAGTGCTTCAAATGGGGGTGAAACTTAGTCACAGCGAAAGAAGGTCGCAATCAAAAATTGAAATAGATTGCATGGAATTCTACATTTTCTTGTTTCCAGGTTAGACCATTGGTCTTAAATTAATGCTTGTAGTAAGTAACATTGGACTGAAAATTACAGTAGAAAGTTTCTATAATTAAAGTGTTCATTCTTGTGTGGCTTGACCATGGAGAGAATCCATGGAATGGAAGAGATTATCTTTGGTATCCACTGACACACTGTGATTGGTCAGCAAATGTGTCATCAGAAATGAGGAGCAGAATGTGTCACAAAATGTTAGAACTATAACTTTCCCACCTGTGATTCTTCAGATAGACAACAACAATAAACGCAGTATTTTGTTGTGCTATCGTATTACTGATAATGTCCACTTCATTGGAGTATTCTGTATTTAAATATTCAACGAAGCAGGAGGATTGAACTGGGAGGTAATGTTTTAATACTGGTTTCAGTGCTTTTGTGTCATGTTGTAGCATTTAATAGTTGATCGAAGCTTACTGGATAACTTTATATCTGTGTAGTGCACTACTTTCTGACATCTGGTAACGTTAACATCAGCATTTGTAGGTTATGTCTTCTGTTAATGTTGTGCATGCCCGATGTCTGCAGTTTGCCTGTTGCCTATAACAAATGTTGTGCATGCCCGATGTCTGCAGTGTTTGAAACGTTTGCCTGATGCCTATAACCAATGACAGCAAAGAAAGAAGTCAGGGGCGGAGCGTTCTTGATCATAATCTCAGCTGTTAAATGTTCGGAGGGTTAATGATGTCATACAGACGGACGTACAGGTAGCAATAATGTTAATATCCGCAAACTCCTTAATTAATATTACCTCATCAGTGTAAGGAATATTTTTTGTACTTACTAGAAGGACGATAAAACTGACTGCAGTAATTACCGAATCATATCACTCTTACAGGTTTAATACAAAATTTTATCCAACAACCTTAAGGTTAAGTCCATACGTAGACGATATTATTGGGTATCTTCAACGTGGTTTTCGACGTAATAGGTCAACTACTGATCAGATTTTTTGTGGGAGTGCAATGAGGCAGTAAGTAACCTATTCATAGACTTAAATAAAGCGTATGTTTCGGTTACAAGGAAAGTAATGTACATTATTATAATAGAGTTTCGTATACCCATTAAATTAGTTAGGCTTACTGGCATGTGTATAAACGAAACCTATTGTGAAGTCCGTATAGGTAAACGTTTCTCTGAAACCTTTCTTATTTAGAATGGTCTGAAACAAGGAAAGGCTTTGTCACAATTGCTTTTCAACTTTACTTTAGGATATAAAATTAGGAATGTCTAAGAAAACTAGATGGGACTGAAATTGAATGGTGGACATCAGCGTTTGGTGATGTTAATCTATTTGGGGATAGCATAAATACAATAAGGAAAGAGACAAGTTTTAATTTATGCTAGTAGAGGTTGGTCTAGAAGTAAGCACAGAGGAAACCAAGTATATTTTGATGTCTATTCACCAGAATGCAGGGAAAAATTCGGATATTTGGTAGCGACAGTAAAAAAATAATAATAATAATTGATTCGTGAGGAAATTAAGAGCAGATTGAATTCGGGTAATGTTGGCTACCATTCAGTTAAGAATCTTTTGTCTTTCCGTCTGCTGCCTAAAAAAAACGTAAAGATTGAAACTTACAAACTATAATTTTATCTGTAGTTTTGTATGATTGTGAAATTTGGTCTCTGACACTAAGGGAGGAACGTATACTGAAGATGTTTTGACCCAAAAGGGGGTGAAATACTAGAAGACTGGAGAAAGTTGCATAACGAGGGACCTCATCATTTGTATATTTTTTTTGCGAAATATAATTAGACTAGGATAAGATTGGCAGGACATGTAGCCCGCACGGGAGAGAAGAGAAATGCGTACAGGAATGAAATAGACCACTAGGAATACTTAGACAGTATTAAAATGGATCTTAAAACACTAGGATGGGGTGGTATTGATTGGATTCATCTGGCTAAGGGTAGGGATTACTATTTGTGTAAGTTATCTTAAGTGTTTTATTCCCCAGGCGTTCACATCGAGGTCACGCTAGATGACGTATAATGATTAATGCATCTAATCTGTTATTTATTCAGTGCTGATAGTGTATCAGTAGGAAGAATTTTTTTTTTATTTTAATACATTTTAAAGCACATTCCATCGTTAACTATTATTGACTTTTATAGTAACGTGATAACGTTTATGTAACTGACAGTGTCAACAAAATACAAACTTTAATTTTAACTTGCCTTAATATACGCGTGCTTTGACGGTTTGGAATGATTTTTATGAGGGGCCCCCCCGCCCCCGCCCACCACTCGTTTTATTTCTTCCTTATTTTAATCGTCCTTTGTTTCCTCGGCACCAACAGGAAATAGTCCTTCTTGGACCAGAATCGACTCCACCTCGTTAATTCGCTTTGGTTAAGCTGCGTCCAGGTTTTACATTAATGTCAAAGCGAAGTTAGAAAAATTGGTCAGAAATGAATTTATATTTAACGTAAAATATTTGTATCGTTAATCATCCTGTCGTCCATTTTGTTGGTGTCTTATACTTCATCTTGTTCCGTTCTGTAAAATGGTTGCCAGAAAGCGTAGTTTCTCTTCATTTTAATGATTCAGCTACGTTTAGATGAAAATTATAACACATCACCTGAATGGAGGTGGGAGGATAATATTAAACCAGATCTTAGGGTAGGAGGTCTAGAGTGTAAGTTAACAAACCACGCACTATCTTGACGTTGAAACAATGCATCACCGAAGAAATTCGAGCAATTGAGTTACGGGCAATTTCAGGTCTAGGTTACAAGAATGTATTCGTTGTCATGTTGGCCACCTGGCAAATGTTATTATTAAGAAATAAGCAGAGATTAATTAATTGCATTGTACTGATATTTTTAAATGTGAAAGTGTTTTATTTTAATTCGACCCGAGTTTGCCATAATAGTGCTCTGAAAACCGGCTCATTCCACTGCCGCACCCTGTAGTTTCAGTGTTAACGAGGTCACAGAGAGGAGAGTAAAATAAATGAAAGGAGGTGAGAATGAGGATAGGTTAGTAAGATAGTTGCCAGAGTATGAAAGCAACGGTAGAGTGCAGTGCGCATTGATACACAGATAATACCCGCTTTACGAGTGTTTAGTTCCAGTAGTGGTTTAATGAAATGTGTCGTTAGGCGCGGTGTTATAATCGGGGTTTGGTTTCCGAAGGACCGAAAAAAATATAAATCTACCATTTTATTGCCGGAAACGAAACATAACAGCGTAGTGTAAACGCACTTGATTATTACGTATGATATAAGAATACAAGGAAGAAAAAAACCAGCAGAGATACGTCCTGTGAACAACAATGGGCAAGTAAAACATTTTTTTTTCTTGTCTTCATGTTATTTTTGTCTTGGCGAAGTGATTCCAGGGCAATTAAGGTGCTCGGAACGTTTCGAATAAGCAAATTCGCTTTCGGAGAACGAGACAATCGGACGGTACACACTTCGTTAAGATTTGAGGTTTTCACAGCGGCGAGTATGAAGATTTCTGTCTTCTGGGTTGTTGCGCTGTGTAGTATGACCTCTGAAACGTTGGTAAACATCGACCAGACTACACGGCGCAACAACCCAGGAGACAGAAATCTTGGTACACACTTAATTATAAAAGTCCGCATTTTTGTAATGCTGACTGTCATGATGCCTGTATTTAAGAGCCACGTTGCACTATTTTAATCGTGTGTCTGCGCAGTGTTGTCAACTTGTTAAGAGTCACTACGCGTTTTTTTACAATTGGTATTTGAATTACAGACTTTGAATAATTGTGTAGAAGCTTGTGAAAATCAATACATATACAGGTGTGACCCTTAGATAAAAATTATTAGGTGATTCACCAGTAAAACATATCACCTAGCAACGCGAGTCGGAAACAATTCGACGGTCTCAGCCTAGACAACCTCAAATCCTGCAGATGGACTGAGGCAGTTCAGTGTTGTTTCGAGGCGGACATATATGAGTGCTGTACTTATTTGGGGACAGGTAAGATTGCAGGAAGACGACTAAAGCCCCCAAAAACAACAGTCTCGCGTATCAGCCTGAAAGACTCGCTTCAGAACTTCTCTTCAGCCGTTGTTCCAGTTCATAACTTCTTCACGATTTTTGGGTTCCAGAGTTTTACCAACCTTTCACTATTCTACGCAAGAAAGTGCGTGCATGTTGTTTATAGCATTTCACAAGTTCCATTATAGGATTCACGTAGCCGTTTATTAAGATCCAAAATTGGGAGAGCAGCCAGTGTACTCAGTGCGTAATTTTTTTTAGTGAATAATTAAGTTATTTCCGCCAGAGACCTCCGCTTCCTGAAGTAGGCAGGAATACTGATATGAGAATCCCCCAAGTATCAAATCTTTCTGCATGTCGCATTTCCTGCTCAGTAACCAGAGCGGAAGACTAGGGCATAAGGTCAGTTCACTGGTGACTCTAACCCACATCAGGTCAACGCTGTGTTAATTCTTACCAGAATTAGGATTTTATGTAGCCAAGTCGAACATTCGGAGACCTTGCGACAAGATATATAACCCCCCCCTCCCCCCTGAGGCGCAAACCTGGGAATCCCAGGCTCGGCGTGTCACGTGACACACCTCTGACCTCCAACCTTCCCAGTGCACCGGTTGGTATTAGCGTCGTAACGGGTCGAATTGTTTTAACAGATGATTTACGCTTTGAAGACCGTCCTAAAGCGATTTGTGGTCTCTGCACGAACATGGAGTACAGAATACGTAGAATCAAGAAAGTACACTAATCTTCTTTATCGTCATTTTCACATATATATAGAACAGTGCATTAAAATTATTAAACGACTAGACGAAGAGACAAGAAAGTGTTAAGTGGTCTTCCAAGACTCTCAGTTGGGCTAGGTTAGGTTGGGTTAGGTTGGGTTAGGTTAGGTTAGGTTGAGTTAGGTTAGGTTGAGTTAGGTTAGGTTAGTTTAGGTTAGGTTAGGTCAGTCTCCAGTGAAGATTCCAATGCGAGACCACATATTATGAAGGAGACTTTACCCCATATACCACATGTTCAGTGGATTTAGATTTTCAGTAAAAAATGTCTATGTACTTGCTACAAACTCTTGTTATTTATTCCTGATCTCAGACCTATGTTGGTGTTCATCCTCGATTAGCAATTGCGTATGTAGGGGAAACTCTTGTAAGTAGGGCCACACAATTTTTCTCCTTATCCAGACAACGTAAATTCTTTATTTTAGCACTGAGATTGGTGATAAACCCGGTCTATCTTCCCTCCTACTTATATCATAACAGCTGTGTGTATATACTTTTATTTAAGTATTTTATTAATTTTTTTTCTTCAAGAAGTAGATATTTGATGATCCACTTTCACAGTAAAGGTATGGAAATTTATTACAAAATGATATCACTGATAATTTCTACACAGTTTCAAACAATTATTGCCATATTCTTTCCGACTGTTTACTCAACAGGTAGGTATTAAAACCAGTATTATTTGGAAAGGTTACAGTGGTGTACCTTGGGCTGTGGCTTAAGGTACAGGCGTGCAAGTAGATATGAACTTTAGTTTACGAACAATTTTTATCTTGCTCTCTAATCTAAATTGCGCAAATTGTTTAGATACCATGGAGTAAAGAACAATTTTAACCTTGTACTTTCATGTAAATTTTAGAGCCAAGGTTGCTCAGGCAGTACAGTGACTGACTACAGACTGGACGACCTGGGTTCGATCCCCAACAGGGGCAGAGAATTTTTTTCTCTAGCCTCTGCGTCCAGACCGGTTCTGGGGGCCTTTCCTGGCCTGGGCGTGATGCTGACCACTCACCATCTAGTGTCGATGTTAAGAATGATTAGAAGTTATATCGCCTCTCCCCCTGAGTGTCTAAATAGGGCGTAGCGGGACGGCTTTATTTGTTTGCATTTTTTTCTGTTTAGCTCTTTTGATATTGACTACTACGTCTAATTTGTTTTATAAAATAATCGTGTTCTCATTTTTGCCCTAAACAGCGTTAACCAGTTGATCTTTGTAATGGTGAAGAGTTGTGTTTTCTTCGCGGTACGGACTGAATTCTTAAATATTAATCAAACGAATTATGATTCTCCCTGCAAACAGCGATTATTTCTTAAACAGCGTTAACCAGTAGATCTTCGTAATGGTGAAGTGAGGTGTTTTCTTCGCGGTACGGACTGAATTCTTAAATATAATTTAGACGAGCCTCTGTTTATGGGGGTTAAATAAACTGATTAATATAAGTGCAATTTATTTCTTTTTATTTCAAATTATCTGTAATATAAATAAATCGTTTCAAATTGTGGCAAATTTCAGATGTTTGGGAACGACGGGAATAAATAAAAAATTGATTCTTCACTGCCATGCAGGACGCTTCTTTCGCATGAAAATGTAGTCCTTCTGAATTTGGCCAAAGTCAAGAATGAGTAGGAGCTATACCACCTCTACCCCCAAGCGCCTACATGGCGTATAATGGGACAGCTTTACTTTTTTTTACTTGTACCAATCGCAGACTTTGAATAATTGTGTAGAAGCTTGTGAAAATCAATACATATACAGGTGTGACCCTTAGATAAAAATTATTAGGTGATTCACCAGTAAAACATATCACCTAGCAACGCGAGTCGGAAACAATTCGACGGTCTCAGCCTAGACAACCTCAAATCCTGCAGATGGACTGAGGCAGTTCAGTGTTGTTTCGAGGCGGACATATATGAGTGCTGTACTTATTTGGGGACAGGTAAGATTGCAGGAAGACGACCAAAGCCCCCCATAACTTCTTCACGATTTTTGGGTTCCAGAGTTTTACCAACCTTTCACTATTCTACGCAAGAAGGTGCGTGCATGTTGTTTATAGCATTTCACAAGTTCCATTATAGGATTCACGTAGCCGTTTATTAAGATCCAAAATTGGGAGAGCAGCCAGTGTACTCAGTGCGTAATTTTTTTTAGTGAATAATTACGTTATTTCCGCCAGAGACCTCCGCTTCCTGAAGTAGGCAGGAATACTGATATGAGGATCCCCCAAGTATCAAATCTTTCTGCATGTCGCATTTCCTGCTCAGTAACCAGAGCGGAAGACTAGGGCATAAGGTCAGTTCACTGGTGACTCTAACCCACATCAGGTCAACGCTGTGTTAATTCTTACCAGAATTAGGATTTTATGTAGCCAAGTCGAACATTCGGAGACCTTGCGACAAGATATATAACCCCCCCCTCCCCCCTGAGGCGCAAACCTGGGAATCCCAGGCTCGGCGTGTCACGTGACACACCTCTGACCTCCAACCTTCCCAGTGCGCGGTTGGTATTAGCGTCGTAACGGGTCGAATTGTTTTAACAGATGATTTACGCTTTGAAGACCGTCCTAAAGCGATTTGTGGTCTCTGCACGAACATGGAGTACAGAATACGTAGAATCAAGAAAGTACACTAATCTTCTTTATCGTCATTTTCACATATATATAGAACAGTGCATTAAAATTATTAAACGACTAGACGAAGAGACAAGAAAGTGTTAAGTGGTCTTCCAAGACTCTCAGCAACTTTTAGGTGGTGGAGGAAGAAAAGTTTTCGAACCCCTGATCTGTAATTTTAATCATGTTTTTGTCTGGCTTTAATAGATGCTAATATTGTACTATTATTGTTATGCCAATTACAGATATGGGTGATTTCAAGGTCTTCAATGATTGTATCCACGGGCACATTAAATTGAACCCACTGTGCGTGAAGATAGTTGATACACCACAATTTCAGAGGCTTCGAAATCTGAAGCAGCTTGGACCTGCTTACTTTCTTTATCCTGGAGCATGTCACAATCGCTTTGAACATTCCCTGGGGTAAGTCTTTTATAGAATCATAACCTCACGTTCTGGTAAGTTACATTTCACTGAACAGATATATAATGATTGTGTCACTTGAAATTAATTTCAATGTCATAGAAAATTCAGTGTTTCTAATCACAGTGAGCCAGGGTAGCTCAGTCAGCATAGTGACTGGCTACGGGACGACCAGGGTTCGATCCCCAACAGGGGCAGAGAATTTTTTTCTCTAGCCTCTGCGTCCAGACCGGTTCTGGGGGCCTTTCCTGGCCTGGGCGTGATGCTGACCACTCACCATCTAGTGCCGATGTTAAGAATGACTAGAAGTTATATCGCCTCTCCCCCTGAGTGTCTAAATAGGGCGTAGCGGGACGGCTTTATTTGTTTGCATTTTTTTTCTGTTTATCTCTTTTGATATTGTCTACTACGTCTAATTTGTGTTATAAAATAATCGTGTTCTCATTTTTGCCCTAAACAGCGTTAACCAGTTGATCTTTGTAATGGTGAAGAGTTGTGTTTTCTTCGCGGTACGGACTGAATTCTTAAATATAATTTAGACGAGCCTCTGTGTATGGGGGTTAAATAAACTGATAAATATAAGTGCAATTTATTTTTTATGTCAAATTATTTGTAATATAAATATATCTAATAAATCGTTTCAAATTGTGGCAAATTTCAAATGTCTGGGAGCGACGGGAATAAATAAAAATTTGATTCTTCGCTGCCATGCAGGACTCTTCTCTCGCATGGAAATGTAGTCCTTCTGAATTTGGCCAAAGTCAAGAATGAGTAGGAGCTATACCACCTCTACCCCCAAGCGCCTACATGGCGTATAATGGGACAGCTTTACTTTTTTTTACTTGTACCAATCGTAGTGAGTGAAATGTCTGGCTGCAGGACATAAATGGGTCCAAAGTGTGAGAATTCCCCCCCACACACACACAAACAAAGCTGAAGACGTACACTTTATACTTGTTCAGAAACCGTCCTCAAGACACGGATGTAATACCATTTATTTACAATGTTTTAGGGTATGCCACCTTGCTGGAAAAATGGTAGAGGCGCTCAGAAGAAACTCTGATAAAAATATTATTATAACAGATGGTGAGAAATTGTGCCTGGAAATAGCAGGTCTCTGCCATGATTTGGGGCATGGTCCTATGTCACACACTTGGGGAAAATTCCTACAGTCTCAAAGCGGCAGTACACCCAAAAAGTGGGAGGTATGAATGCCAAATGTTTTTTTATGTTTATTTTAAGAGCATGCGGTAATTACAAGTGTATTTATGACATTACGGGTCCGAATCGCGCTAGGGTCTACTGACAGTCACGCGTGAGGTAGCAGTAAGTTTGAAAATAATTCCACAGAACTGTGACACCAGGCATTTAAACTTGGACAATGAGTACAGTCAGTTTGGTTATTGTAAAAATTTTAATATTTGTTAATGTTTCATTTTTATTACACTGAGTGTTTTACAGACAGTCCACAATACATCAGAGGGTGATTCGGGATGTAATTTCATGTAAAAAGTGTTGTTACAACATTGGTCCAATTCCCAGCGAGTATGGAACTATGACAGTTTCTAGGCGAACGCATAGAAAAATAAATGAGAGATTTAATCGCATTAATTCATTGCTAAATTTTATGACTGTTCAAAGTGTCTGCCACAGTTTCCATTGCAAAGCCTTCCTCATTCCGAACAAGACTTTTTTGAATAATTTTGGGGAATGCAGAATGTGTCTCTGGAAACAGTGTGTGGTGCGTTCTTTCAGCATGAGAGGACGCCTTCACTTTTCCGTCATCAAGTTGAATCGCTTGAATCATTGATAATAAAATTGTTGGATTGGTCGTCGTGGTCTACTACCTTGGTTGTCGAGATCAGATGTAATTCTGCTTGATTTATTTTTACAAGGTTTAATGAAAGGGTGACCTACGGGACCAGAGTAGGCATGAGAACGGAACTGTGTCAGATTATGGACGCTGCTGACGATCAGATTCTCAAGTAAGGCTCTGTTCAGGCAACTCAGGGTTTAGTGATTTACTCCATACAAGATGAGACTGCAGGGTCCTGTATCGATATTTGGAAAAATTATAAGCGTTTATAAGATTTTGTGACAGGAGTACTTCAGCGCTCTCAATCTTGGTAGCAGTGATGCTGTAAGTACCTTGCTGGTACTTGTATACTAGAAACGATTACTTGAGAGCGTAAATTAATTTATCGCCTTTACGTTGCTCATTGTCTGTAAATCAACAGAGCACCTGGATATTCCTTATTAAACCCCAGGTTTCTATAGAATATAGTCGCTGCTATGAGGCGGTATGAGAAATATAAAATTTATGACCTGATGTCTATTCAATACACTTTTGGTTTCGTCCCAGTCCGTGTATATTCTATCTTTCAAGTCTTCGTTGGCATCTTCGTCTGATCCGATAATGTTTTTATAGCATGAAGAAGCTTCTGTGATGATGTTTGAATATCTGCTGGAGAATAATGGCCTACGTGAAGCGGTGAAGGATGCTGTACCTGAAATGAAAGAAAATGCAATACAGTTTATAGAGGAGCTGATCAGAGGTAAAGGAACGGTGAGAAGCAACAAGAAATTTCTGTATCAGGTACATGTTTGTATTTATTATACCTCTCTGAATTTAATTAATCTGTTTGTTGTAATGTACGTGAGATATTGTTCAATTGCCGTTGTTACGCGTAAATCTAACAGCATTCTTTTAATTCATCACCGTTGTGTGCGCGTTTGCAAAAGTAGGTTACATGTAAGGATTCAAGGTCACGATAGAGTTCATTAAACTTGTAACCAAAACAAATAGAAAGTAATAAAGAATATCAAAGGAAGTGATCATGAACTAACTGTACTATCCTGGCATTAGCTAACAGACGCTAAAGAGCCCGGATTCTGAAACTAAATTGCATTTTAATATGGCGTATGTAATTTACAATGTTATACTCAGCGATTTCTATTGGTACCATATTTGAAAATGATACGGACCGCACTTTTCTCGTTTGTTTCAGATTATATCTAATCAGGAGAATGGCATTGATGTCGACAGATGGGATTATTTCCTTCGAGATGCAAAACAGCTCAATCTCAATATCTCATTTGACTACAGTCGCATACTGGAGTTCTGTCGTGTGATTGAGGTTAATAACGAGAAGATCATCTGCTTTCGTGATAAAGAAAGGCACAGTATCTACGATATGTTCCAAGTTCGAATGACTCTGTTCCACAAAGCATGTTTACATGACGTAGTGAGAACTATTGAAGAAATGTAAGTAGCAGCATTTTTTATAGGTTGAAAATGTTTATCGTGGATTTTGGCTGAACAAGAAGTAATATTATCTTTGTTTTGCAGGTTCATTGATGCTCTTAAGGCGGCTGATGAAGGCGGATACATGATCCATGTGTCAGATGATATTAAGTAAGTAAACATTCTGAAATTGCACACACCAGCGATCTCCTGTTCAGAATTAAGAGATCGGAATAATTTCTGAATTCTAGATACCTTCTGTTACAATTAATGTCTCAGTAAAATACTTGTTTTAACGCTTTGATTGTTATGATTTGTTCTTCTTTCTTGTGGCCAGATACTTCCTTAGGCATTGTTAAGAACGCCGGACCTTTGGGTTCCATTAAATGAAGGGAATTTCATGATTTGAAGGCAGAATATTGGAGAAGTGTGTTTTAATTGGGAATTTATGGTGGACAAGATTAAATTCCAGCTGTTATATGATGTTCAAGTATACTTTTATGTGAACAGTGAACAGACTGCAAGCAGAAATTGTAGGGATATACAGACAAAGCAATTTCTTTATTATGCAGGGAAATTAAAGATGATAATATTGCATATCGGTCATGAAAAATATGACAAAAATGAATGAACGTATTCTTACATTTGTTGTCTTTATATGTGTCACTTTTGTTAATGGTATGAACCTGTTCATCTCTTCTTATATTGTGAATATAATAAGAAATTGTCAGTATTACTAACCTAACCCAGTTGTAAGGTTATGTTGACATTGGATTGTTTCATGCCATCTTGCATTTGAATCATTCAGTCACATCTAGTTTTGACAGAACTGTATTTTGCAAGGCGGTGGCCAATAAAAAGGATGGAGGTTAGGTTAGGTTATTCATCTCTTCTTATATTGTGAACATAATAAGAAATTGTCTGTATTACTAACCTAACCCAGTTGTAAGGTTATGTTGACATTGGATTGTTTCATGCCATCTTGCATTTGAATCATTCAGTCACATCTAGTTTTGACAGAACTGTATATTGCAAGGCGGTGGCCAATAAAAAGGAGGGAGGTTAGGTTTGCAAAAGGGGAAAATATTTTTCACAAAATCTGTAGTGGGAATGGAAACTTTACTCATAGTTCATATTTTGTGGGGTTTTAGAATTATTCATTGTGTTCTGTATATTGCAGATTCAAATTTGTGATGTTTGTTTATAGATACAAGTTATCAGAGGCACACAAGTATGCTAAAGCATTGAACCGCATGACTGATCACATCATCTTTGACATTTTCTACAATATAGAGGGCAAGTTCAAAGAGGCAAAAGAATTACTGTGTCGCATTTTGAAGAGGGACTTGTACACAATTTTGGACAGCAAGAACTTCTCAACTGAATTAGTGGTTAAGAACATTTACATTGTTACTTTTATAACTACAAGTATGCTAAAGCATTGAACCGCATGACTGATCACATCATCTTTGACATTTTCTACAATATAGAGGGCAAGTTCAAAGAGGCGAAAGAATTACTGTGTCGCATTTTGAAGAGGGACTTGTACACAATTTTGGACAGCAAGAACTTCTCAGCTGAATTACTGGTTAAGAACATTTGCATTGTTACTTTTATAACCTACTCTAGAAATTTCCTTCCTTTTGTTGAGACCAAAGGTTCATTACCGTATTTACAAGAGCCCATCACTAGTTCCTATCCCGATCCATGTGTGTTTACTAATTCCTCTATTTTGGACTTTTCTACCATCTGTCTTAAAAAATCACATTTCAAACATGGATCTTCCTACATCATCAGGTACAGGGTGCCGAGATTAGAAATAGCTCATTTTACCAGTTCCAATAGAGTAGACGTGTCCTTCAATGCCTGACGATGAAGCAATATCCATCCGCAAAACATACACTAATTCCTCTATTTTGGACTTTTCTACCATCTGTCTTAAAAATCACATTTCAAAGATGGATCGATCTTCCTACATCATCAGGTGCAGGGTGCCGAGATTAGAAATAGCTCCTTTTACCAGATCCAATAGAGTAGACGTGTCCCTCAATGCCTGACGATGAAGCAATATCAATCCACAAAACATAAGGTGATTTTCAAGACTTTTTTTAAAACCTTCATCACGTGATGGAGAAAGTCCAAAATAGATAAATTAGTGATATAATACCGTCGCCAAAGGGATTAAGAGAATGACGAATTAATTCAGTCCACACCCTGGAACTAAATTTTCCTCAGGTGGTCAGTTATGTGAGAATGGTATTTATGTTCAACCCCTCATGATTGAAGCCAGAGACAGTCTCCAAAATGGATATCATCTCCATTCTAACATCGCTGATTGCAGCTATGAAACTACACAAGACGAGTAGCCAGTATTTACAGACCTGAATTCATGCTGAAATCTTTATTTATATTAAGGTTCTTTACAGGCGAGAATGAATAACACACAGGAAGTTGATAAAGTGAATAAAGCAGTAGCAGAACTTGAGAAAGAGATTCAAGAGCACATCAGAACATCGCTGATTGCAGCTATGAAACTACACAAGACGAGTAGCCAATATTTACAGACCTGAATTCACGCTGAAATCTTTATTTATATTAATGTTTTTTACAGGTGAGAATGAATAACACACAGGAAGTTGATAAAGTGAATAAAGCAGTGGCAGAACTTGAGAAAGAAATTCAAGAGCACATCAAAGAGATTAGTAAAGACCTAAAATATTGCAGTTATAAAGATTTTAAGGCGATAAAAATTAAACTGGACATGGGTGTTAAGAAGAAGCGTAAGTCAGAGAAAAATAATCCATTCAGTAACATTTACTTCTTTGAAAAGGATAATGTGGATGAAGCAAAGGAGATGGAATGGAAGGATGTGACAGTTTTTCCAGTCCCCGAGTAAGTTTGCTTACAGACGTATTATGTATATAGGATGAATGTTTACCGTCTCCATTTTCTTTTATGCGGTCTCCCACAATCTTTATATACTCTTGCTTTAAAACATCATTCCTTGGTAGAATCAGTACACCGAGATGAGACGGTAGGTGAAACGTAGAAGAATGCATGGTCATAATGTGCTCCCATTTTATGTGGCTTTATTCTGTCCCTCTGTCTTTAACCGACTGATCACTTGATCGATACGTGCTTCTGTTAACGCTGATCGCGTCGTACCTGTGAATGGACAATAGTACGAAGTAAAATTTGTATCAGAATGAGTAAGAAGACAGAAATGATTATATTTGGCATGTTTCTCGTGCTCTTTTCATGTCCATTTTTCTTTTGAATTTTCTCTCTTTGTTGCGCCAAATAATTAAGAATGTTTGTTTAACTTTTTAATGTTATATTTAAATCTCATATATGTATAGACATTAATTAAATATTTGTGTAACTTTTTTTAAATTCCAGAGAAAGTATTCATCATATTCATTTCCTTATCATATATAAGGACATGGACAATAAGAAACGTGTGAGCAGGGATGCCAACATGAAGAAGGAGCTGGATGATTTTCGAGTTAAACTCAAGGAAAGCTGGGGTACGTTTGGAAACAGATCAGAACACCGAGTAGGTAAGCAAGTGGACTAATTTAGCCTTAAACAAGTCAAAAAGTATATTGTGTAGTATGCAAATTGTGTCTGCGTCTTCATGGTCGGTGGAGGAGGTTAAAATTAAATTTCAAACCCGTCCGCAGGAAGACTTTAGTTTACTTCCTGGCTTGCTGCTAGAATCATTTCACCACCACGGCCTCTACAGTCCGTAATACTTTCTTGAGGGGGCAGACACTTCAAGGTCACACTGAGACAGGTCCAGGTTGTATGGATGATGGTCATTTCTCATGAGCGTACCAGGATTCTCTCTCTTCAATGGTGCTGCAGCCAAAATTGAGCTTTGGCCTCATTGAGTTTGATGGCTATATTAAATTCTTGGGAGATTTGACTCTTTTACCCTCGGCACCAACGAACTAAATGATGGCTCGTTAGTCCTGTTTTGGACGAGTTCTCTTCCTGGAATGGTGGGGTTTAATGGTGTCATGCTGTTATGTTTGCTGTAACATTCCCATTCTCTTACACAGCTCATTGTCGACTACTGGCGCGACACGAACTCGGCCATATGATTAATCACTGTTGCCAGAAAGAGGTTTTATTTGAACAACTCTCAGAACTTCGCTGAAAGAATCTCGTGTATGGTAAACATGAACATATCTTTTTCTTTCTTTCTTTCTTTCCAGGTGATATGTAACTGATGCCAGGATAGCTCAGATGGTAAAGTGACTGGAATCAGGCTCAATGGCTAGGTTTCATTCCATGCAGGAGGAAGGCACTTTTTCTTCAGTGCTGCCTTCTTCTGGCTTTGAGACCTAACCAGCTTTCAAGTGGATTTTTTTTAAATGTCTCTCGCCTCACTGAATGTTCCTTATCACCTCAGAAGTTCACGCTGCTGCCATATTAGTAGCAGCAAAATAATCTGTGATGAATGTAAAAGACATTCTTGAAGCACAATGGACTCATGATTATCCAGATTGGTTGGAAAATATATTTTCATGGATAATCTGCAAAAGCGATAGAGAAATACGCTACTATAACAGATATATAAGTTTATTTACAGACAATCACTACTTCAATTTTTAAAGATTTATTAATGACAGAAAGGATTTTATATATAATTTAATAGGGCATATAACAATTATTTTTAAAAAAGAATCACAACAATTACATCATAAACTTCATGTTTTAGTAACGATTTATGTTAATATGTTAAATACTCTGTCATTGTTGTGTTTATTCCTTTCTTTTTCAACTTTCTTTTATAACATATTCAAAATTAATTTTTACTTATTATTTATACCAGATAGATGGTGGTTAATCCATAACCCAGTTAATCCACCCCCTCTTCCCAGGTAATTGGGAGTTTACTGCAGTTAAAAAACTAATGGAATTTTCAGAATGCTAAACTAACCTTTACAAAGTTTTATTTCAGGTTCTCATTGCAGTGAATTTGAAGACGGCTATCTTCTGGGTTGTTGCGCTATGCAGATTACGTGGCGCAACAACACAGAAGACAGCCATTTTGAACATAATACTATTTTTATCTGAATTATAGCTAATTTACAAAGATATCAAGTTTAGTAAGTAATTTATATAAAAAATTATTAAATCATTTGCTTCTTATTCTGCTGTGTTATTCTATGCCAGTACTTAAAAAAGACGAGTGGTGCACAAGACGATTGTCAGTATCAAGATTATGTTACCAATGTCATACTGTGGAAAATATTAACATCAGCTAAGATCTACAAATCTTTGTTAAAACATTTTCACCAGTTGACGTATTTATAAATATCACGTGCGTTTATTGCGTTCAGTGTGATTACAAAATGATTTTACTTTGTAATGGAGATTGTTGATTTTGTTTATTTAAAAATGTTTTTAAGTTTTTCATGTTTAATTTAAAGTGTAGTAATAAAGAGGTTAATAATAAATGTAGTATGTCTGCGATGCAGATAAGTAGTGAAGAAAGTTCTGTTTTATCTTCTCTCTGAGCACAGTAGTGCTAATGCCATCATTTTTGTGAACCTCTAACCTTATTTTAAGGAAAAGACCACAAATATCCATTTTTCCTGTTATCTTGAAATGGCAGAAATATTTATTTGAATGTTATTTAGTTTCTGTGTTGAATGTGGATTTTTCACAAGTATTTTGTGTTTCAGTTCACCCTATAAGTAAAAATGTTCACAGTATAAATCTGATTGAGAGGCTTATTCACTGAATACTTTTGCTAATGGTTTCATAAAGTTATTTTCCATGTGAACTGTGGCATTGTTTTGCATAAAACACCAGCATGTTTCCTTTTCCTTCAGGCAATTTGTCAAAAATTGGAGTACTTTAAGAAACACATACCTAATTATTTTGTGTGCATGAAGCTACCGATAAAAATGTTGACCATCTGGGAAGTAGAAGCAGACAGCTAGCAGAGAAGTTACATGGATGAATAAAAAAGTGAGCCAGATATTGTAGTTTTTCATTATTGTACTGGGGATTTGTTTGTAGAATGTAAGGTTATTGGACTTGAAGTAGGGAGGGTGGAAAATGACCCGCTTACGCTCCATTAGGGGTTGGAATAAGAATGAAGTCTTCTAAATTATAACCATACCTGTTTCAAACTCTGTGGCGGATAAAAGCTTAATGCCACCAGTGATGTATTATAATTACAAGTTCACGTATAGGTTACGAACTAGCTTCCGTCGTTATTTACATATTCGTAATATGACATTCGAAACGGAAAGTGCTGATTCATTGTTAGTGGTCAAGGTAGAGTTGAAATATGTTTCTCATTTTGCATTCAGTGGGAGAATCTCTTTAATTTAATAAGAGACAAATGCTGTTATTTTAATTATCATTCCGGTCTTTTGATATAAGATATTTCGAACATTTATAATCACGGTATTTGACATGTAATAAATTATAGTAGCAAGATTGAGGTTATGGATGGTGCAGTTTCAGTACATTCACACACAGACATTCACAGAAGTTAGTTATTACATATTTACATTATGGATATAAGTTACATGAGGTATGAAAGAATGGATTATGTTGGATCTAGTAAGTAAAACCCTTCCAGTGATAACATTGGGATCGCCGTGTCTGAAAGTAGATACATGTACTATGGTGAGGACATTCACATGAGAAAACTAAGTGAAGTATATCAGCAAAATATTAGGTCCTCTGAGGTATTGGTATCTTCTGTAACATTTACAAGGTAATTAACTGTTCATTTATTGTATTTTTAAATTAATACCCCTCCCCCCCCCCCCCCAAATAATCACTTGTAGTGGGCTAAGTGACTCAGTGGTTATCACAGTAATTTTACTTTGTTTTAATATCATTTCAGTAGATTATCATGTATATTATTGGTGTTACGAAAATTATGTAAAATTATCTGCAGTACCTTAGTATAAAAGTGTCAAAGTTTTAGATCATAATGTATTGTAAATTGTCATGTATGTGCCTATATTTAATCTTCAAAAAGTAGTTTTATGAGAAATTTGATAAAATTCAATTGTAGTGCAGAAAGTGGTACTGAATAGAACAGAATTTATATAAATTACTTAGATTCTTCATAGTCTGAAGCCAAGGACGTAGAACATGTCATAGCGCAAATACAGTACTTGTTTCTAATATAAATATAAATTACATAGTCATCTTCCAGAATTAGAGCAAAAATAATTATACGAGAAGACATAACCACTTTTGCTTGCATGTATTTATAATAGCTGAGAATTAGAGATTGAGGTAAATTTTTCTATGGAGTAGGAATGAGCTAGGAAATACTCTTTTATTGCTAGCTTATACTTCTTTCTATTATGATTCAGACGTTTATAGTGGATTATTGAACAGCTTAATTCCAATATAATAAACTTCTTTTTAATACTTACAGAGTTCAGTGCTTGGCACATGAAGGTTATATCTGTGTCTTGTACTTATGTTGTGGATATCTGAGTTTGTTTGACATTTCTCTATGTTTCCTACTACATTTTATAATAATGAGAGCAAGAATTTGTCTAATTGGAGAATATTTAGTTTCTTAAATAGTTCTGGACATGACGCTCTCCTTTATTCTACAGAGGTTTTCTTATGAATATAAAATAACTTTTTGCTGCCTTTTGAGTTTCCCCAGAAAATTATTTTTTATGTCATGAATGAATGGAAGTAAGCAAAGTAGAGTGTTGGTCAGAGGGAGTTTATTTGCTTTTCATGATTTACAGTTACATTTCATTATATGCAGTTGAGAAGGCATCATTAAACAGACTAAAAATATGTGGATGTGTAGTAGTTTATTCAAATGATTTTAGCTGCAGGTTGCGAAATCTACAGTATAACTGAATTACGTTGTTACAGGTGTTGACATTTTGTCTACAAAATATTCATGGCAAATGAACCGGAAGAAATAAAAATCCCAGTTCCATGGGGATATATAAGTGGTAAGTTTAATGTAGGAATGATAAGATATTTTGCAGTTCCAGTAGCCAGCAAAAGGTTAGCTAGGCACAAAGAATTCTGTTATTTTTTTCACTTCAGGCATTAATATCCTTAGGGATAATGAATTATTTTCAGGCTACCTGCCATGTCAGGTGGTTTAATAAAACAGACACCAACGTTTCAAGGACGAAGGTGGTTCTTGAAATGTTTGTGTTTTCTTCATTAAGTCACCTGACACGGCTAGTAGTCCGAGAAGAATTTATTATACTTGGTCACCGTGAAAGCTTCAGGTCGTACAACAAATATCCTTAGGTTTTTAAAAATTGTAACAATAATCTATGTTAAAATGCTACCCTTTCTTGTTTGTATTGGAAGGATGGTATAGAAATTGATCTTAGAAAATGAGTCATGAAGATGTCAGCTGGACTAAACTGGCTTTTGATAGAATCAAAATGGCGTCTTACTGTGGTCATGATGAACAACTGGATTTCATAGCAGAAAGTTCCTTGATTGCGAAAGAAGATTTTGTGTCCTGGAGTTACCATCTATGTGACGTTAGTACAGTGTGTCCACAAAGTCCCTTCAGGGTTTTGAAAAATTGTGGCGCACGAACAAATTGAGCTAGCCACATGCCGTTTGCGGCAGATTACAGTGAAACTCTAGAAGTTTTTTATTGACCTCAGTAGACTTCGATCTGGGCTCCCTTGGTAGTACAGAGAACGTCCAGACGATATTCGAGCTCTTGCCACGTTCTGTGGAGCATGTCCGCTGGAATAGCCGAGATCGCATTCCTGATACGGGTCTTCAGGTCATCAAGTCTGTTAATTGGTGCTCGGAACACATTGTTCTTGACATGACCCCACAGGAAAAAACCCAGTGGTGTTATATCTGGTGAACGTGGAGGCCAAGGCATTGGACCGTCTCTGCCGAAGGGACTTTGTGGACACACTGTAATATAAGGAAATCTTTGTTATGATTTTTCTGTCCCCAGGTAAATGGTGGGGACCTCAAGATAAGCAGCCTGTCCTGGCAATTCATGGTTGGCAAGATAATGCTGGGTCATTTGATCGGCTGGCTCCGTTGTTGCCAGCACACATTGCCATTCTCTGCATAGACTTGCCTGGGCATGGTTTATCTTCGCCATACCCCAAAGGATGCTTCTACTACTTGCATTGGGATGGTCTGTCGGTGGTGAGACGGATTGTGAAGTATTTCAAGTGGGAGAAAATTACGATCTTAGGACATTCTTTAGGGGGTGCAATTGGTTTTTTATATGCTGCCTCATACCCGGATGATACCGATAAATTGATCTGTATTGATGTTGCCAGTCCGGCTTTCGCTGATGTAAGCGAGATGGTAGACATGACGAGAAGAGGCATTGATAAATTCCTTAAATATGAAAATTACACCAAAAAGGATGAACCGTGCTATGGGTATGAAGAAATGCTAAACGTAATGTTGTTAGGGCACGATGGATCCCTTACATTAGCATCAGGTGAAATCTTGGTGAAACGTGGTTCTTACAAAGATCCAGTTACCAACAACTACTTATTTACAAGGGATGTTCGTCTGCTTTCACTAATACCATGTATTTCACTAGAAGTAGCCTCAGAATATGCAAGAAATATTACTTGTAAAGTATTGAACATCAAAGCTAAGCCTGGCTCGAGGTACAGATGTAACGATCTTTATCATGCGATTCTCGATGAAATCAAGGAGACTGCGAGACACTTTGAATTCTTTGAAGTCGAAGGAACACATCATTTACATTTAAACAACCCAGAAGATATATCTTCATATGTGATTAATTTTTTAGAATCGTGAAAGTCGGAATGAGGCAATTGCATTCTCAGATCCTGCTCATCGGTGAGTGTGAAAAATGAGCATAAATTCTGTTTTTACAGATACATCAGTAATCACATACAGTGGTTGATATACTGTACGCAAAGAAAAAAGGCAAAAGCCTATTAAAATTCAAGACTATTCTCTTATGTTTATGGGATTATGATTTTTCCTCTCTCCTCTGAGTCCAGACCAGCTCCGGGGCCCACCCAGTCTCCTATCCTATGGGTACCGGGGTCTTTCCCTGGGGGTAAAGTGCTGCTGGTGCGTGATGCTAACCACTCCCCTCCACCTAGTGCTGAGGTTAAGAATGTGTAGGAGCTATACTTAAGCGCCTTCGTGGCGTTTAGTGAGACAGCTTTTTGGGGTTATGAAGAGGCATGCCTGTGCACATATTTTGAAACACAGAACACATTTTAACACCTGAGACTTAAATGATAAGATAATAAGTGATATATTTTGAAAAAAATATTAAATGTCATCACCTGTTTTTATGCAGCTTGCCAACATTAAGACCACAATATTTAGAAAGCAGCACAAATGACGCCTGGCATTGGAGACCGGAACGGGGGACTCGTGGTTACAGGGGTGTTTTCTGTTGTGATATTTGACTTATGTAATAACTTAGGTTGTGTCACAGTGGTCAGAGACATAATTTCTACAAACTTTGAATTAATATGGCTTATTCAGTTCGGCAACAGTGACGGTAAAGTGAAACCTTATCGACTGGAAAGTGGACACCTGATTTTCTTTCCAGCTGAAAACACTACTGACGTTAAAATAATCAAACTGTACTTAAAGTAAAATTCTTGATCTAAGAGACAGAAATTCTGAAAGTACTGAACTTCATAGCTCTTAAAAAAAATTGTACTACTGCAGATAAATTTTTATTGCAAAACAGAAGTATGTCTATGCATGGACTCTCTGTACATTACAGAATAACAATTTCAAATGCAAGCAATTCAAGTAATATATTTGCATGATTAAATTTTATCATAAGCCCACAAAACAGCAAATCTCATGAAGTATTACATTTGAAATGTACAGCGTGTCCACAAAGTCCCTTCGGGGATTTGAAAAATTGTGGCGCGCAAACAAATTGAGCTAGCCACATGCCGTTTGCGGCAGATTACAGTGAAACTCTAGAAGTTTTTTATTGACCTCAGTAGACTTCGATCTGGGCTCCCTTGGTAGTACAGAGAACGTCCAGACGATATTCGAGCTCTTGCCACGTTCTGTGGAGCATGTCCGCTGGAATAGCCGAGATCGCATTCCTGATACGGGTCTTCAGGTCATCAAGTCTGTTAATTGGTGCTCGGAACACATTGTTCTTGACATGACCCCACAGGAAAAAACCCAGTGGTGTTATATCTGGTGAACGTGGAGGCCAAGGCATTGGACCGTCTCTGCCGAAGGGACTTTGTGGACACACTGTAATATAAGGAAATCTTTGTTATGATTTTTCTGTCCCCAGGTAAATGGTGGGGACCTCAAGATAAGCAGCCTGTCCTGGCAATTCATGGTTGGCAAGATAATGCTGGGTCATTTGATCGGCTGGCTCCGTTGTTGCCAGCACACATTGCCATTCTCTGCATAGACTTGCCTGGGCATGGTTTATCTTCGCCATACCCCAAAGGATGCTTCTACTACTTGCATTGGGATGGTCTGTCGGTGGTGAGACGGATTGTGAAGTATTTCAAGTGGGAGAAAATTACGATCTTAGGACATTCTTTAGGGGGTGCAATTGGTTTTTTATATGCTGCCTCATACCCGGATGATACCGATAAATTGATCTGTATTGATGTTGCCAGTCCGGCTTTCGCTGATGTAAGCGAGATGGTAGACATGACGAGAAGAGGCATTGATAAATTCCTTAAATATGAAAATTACACCAAAAAGGATGAACCGTGCTATGGGTATGAAGAAATGCTAAACGTAATGTTGTTAGGGCACGATGGATCCCTTACATTAGCATCAGGTGAAATCTTGGTGAAACGTGGTTCTTACAAAGATCCAGTTACCAACAACTACTTATTTACAAGGGATGTTCGTCTGCTTTCACTAATACCATGTATTTCACTAGAAGTAGCCTCAGAATATGCAAGAAATATTACTTGTAAAGTATTGAACATCAAAGCTAAGCCTGGCTCGAGGTACAGATGTAACGATCTTTATCATGCGATTCTCGATGAAATCAAGGAGACTGCGAGACACTTTGAATTCTTTGAAGTCGAAGGAACACATCATTTACATTTAAACAACCCAGAAGATATATCTTCATATGTGATTAATTTTTTAGAATCGTGAAAGTCGGAATGAGGCAATTGCATTCTCAGATCCTGCTCATCGGTGAGTGTGAAAAATGAGCATAAATTCTGTTTTTACAGATACATCAGTAATCACATACAGTGGTTGATATACTGTACGCAAAGAAAAAAGGCAAAAGCCTATTAAAATTCAAGACTATTCTCTTATGTTTATGGGATTATGATTTTTCCTCTCTCCTCTGAGTCCAGACCAGCTCCGGGGCCCACCCAGTCTCCTATCCTATGGGTACCGGGGTCTTTCCCTGGGGGTAAAGTGCTGCTGGTGCGTGATGCTAACCACTCCCCTCCACCTAGTGCTGAGGTTAAGAATGTGTAGGAGCTATACTTAAGCGCCTTCGTGGCGTTTAGTGAGACAGCTTTTTGGGGTTATGAAGAGGCATGCCTGTGCACATATTTTGAAACACAGAACACATTTTAACACCTGAGACTTAAATGATAAGATAATAAGTGATATATTTTGAAAAAAATATTAAATGTCATCACCTGTTTTTATGCAGCTTGCCAACATTAAGACCACAATATTTAGAAAGCAGCACAAATGACGCCTGGCATTGGAGACCGGAACGGGGGACTCGTGGTTACAGGGGTGTTTTCTGTTGTGATATTTGACTTATGTAATAACTTAGGTTGTGTCACAGTGGTCAGAGACATAATTTCTACAAACTTTGAATTAATATGGCTTATTCAGTTCGGCAACAGTGACGGTAAAGTGAAACCTTATCGACTGGAAAGTGGACACCTGATTTTCTTTCCAGGAACCTGAATCTCATTCCAAAGGCCTGCTGACAGGAATTGTCTTTATAGTTCAATGGGTTCTCTAGGCAGATGCTGGCATAATGCCTAATTTCTATATAAATTTCAAAAAGTGCAACATAGGATATGTGTATATAAAATTAATAGCTTCTGTCTTTGTTATTGAATTATCTCTGAGTATGTTGATTGCCAAAAACATGTAGGGTGTGAATTAATAACAATTATGAATTGTGGATGCGCATTGATTGTATTTGATGGTAAGTCAGCTGATTGTAGTTCAAAGCATCTGGTAAAACTTTTGCTTTTGTTTATGAGCTGAACTTTGTTTAAAAAACAATAGTCAGGGTGAGAACAAATTAACGAGACATCTTTAATTTTAATGTATTATCCTTTGAGACTCCCATTTGGTCTCTGTCACAGAAATGTTTATCATTGTTTTGTGTAGATTTATTTCTCTCTGATGCATACAGTTCGCTGTGCCCACCTCAACCACATTCATTACATCAGCCAAAAAATATTAACTCTGATAACTGTCAGTAAATTGACTGTCTTTGGGGCTGGATTCGATTGCCAACAAACTTGATATTTTCTCTTCATCTTCCCATTTATGCCAAGTATGGGACTCTCCAATGAGGGGCTACATGTATGGTTCTGAGGTTTAGAATGAATGGATGTTCACTTCCATGTCCCTATACAGAAGGTGCAAATTGTTTTTCAGAACTACATGACGCTCCAAATCTGCAGAAAATCCTGGGGGAATGACCAAAGCATATTACAAAAGGATTTATTACAATATCAGGTAGGGAAATTTTTGTTACATTGTTGGTAACAGTTATGACGTATTATGGCTCTGGGCACTTTGTTAATAAAGAGGCGCGTGCTGGAGCTACTTAGATGGTGTCAAGCCCAGAAAGTCTACCCAGCGCCTGTGTTCTTTATGTAGAATAGAATCAAATGTAACCAAATAATAATCTTTATTGCTGTATATTTATCGAATTTTAAAATATGGGGGGGAAAAATGGGACTGTGCCCGAAATTCAGGGACGTCTTCCGCGTTGTGGTGTATTATTTGCATCTCTGAACACGAAGACTATATTACTTTCTAGGAGCAACCATTGTAAATAGGTGATGAGTGTGACATCTTTCGGTTGTAAGGCCCTTTTTAATAATACGACTTCACTTCCGCCCAATCGCAGTTGAGTCGTCGTACTGGGCGGCCTGAAGTTTGCGTGTCTGTCAGATTTGTTTATATCTTGTGTATGTAGTACAAGTGGTAGAACATCTATAAGTATCGAAAGTTTCAGAAACGAGAAGACTTGCAACTAGTTGTGATTTCACATTAATTCAATTGAAAGTAGTCAAAACGTGCGGAAAGTAAGCGCTTTAAGAACCTCAAATTTTAGTACAGAATCTAGTTTGCTAGTTGTCGAGTATTTAGGACTTGCGTACTGAACTGGTGCACGCCACCAAACTGCATTAGGACATAACACCAAAAGTCTTCCATAATTCAATAAATTTAAGACTTTTCGACAAACAAACTTGTTTATATCACCAACTATAAAATGTGATGACACTCTGGAGTCGAATAATTACAAAATAACAGGCAGATTTTTCTCTCTGACAGACAGGTTCGCGAGTGTTATTTCGCTCGACCTAAATCGTGTGTTGGCGGGACTGAATAGAGACAAACTTGTTTTTCCACAAACTTAATGTCATGTTAATTACACTACTAACGACATTTTGGTTACGAATTTAACGGGCGTAAAATATTATGCAGTGTTATAAACTAACACGCAAGGATTCTAAAGTGTTATAAATGTTAGTGGTTCAGAATTCTAGGGGTGTAAAGTTCCCGTTTTCGTCTTTAACGGCCCCATATATAAAGTGTTGTGCTGTGATTTTTGTGTGCGTGAATATGTGATTGTAACATCTCTGAAGGTTTTGTGACACATGGGAGCAGAAGCGTGCGTCTTAGGGAGACTTTGAACCAGGGACCATGGCTAGAGGAGCTACGCGCAAAACGTAACGTTGAAACAAAAGAAATAGTGTCGCCCGAACTCTTAGCGGTTGAGGACCCATCCGCTGGAGGACGGGCTGGGTACTTGCAGCAAATCAGGTACGCCATAGCATCGGCACGGTCTTATCATGTGAGTCCGGCCACAGGCTGTCATGATAATCTCATCGCACCGTGCCAGGCAACTCTGTATTTGATGCGGTAGTCGCCATGACATAGGGCATGTTAGGTTAAGGTCAAGTTGGCAACCCTGTGCATTTTATATGTTTTTGTATAGTTTGTAAGGTGTCCTCCCGCCCTCCCCGTTAGGGTTTTGGTTAGGTGTTGTGAACTTAACTTTTGTGTCCAGTGGCTTAATGGACGTTCAGTTAGGAGGGTTTAGTCTTAAGTGTTTCTTTGTATTTTTTAACACAGGGTGCCAAACTTGACAGGTTCAGTCGGCACGACCAATGAAATCAATGCGAGAAGGAGAGAGAGAGAGAGAGAGAGAGAGAACTTTTGTATTCTCTGCCTGTTAATAACTCGCATTGCAGGGACAAAGATTCAGTCAACAATAAATTATAACATTTTTGTTTTGTCTGTCTTTCGCCTCAGTGCTGAAAGATGTGTCTGAATCTATAAATATATCAGGAATACTAGAGTTAAATATTGTTTGTCTCTGTATTAATATATTGTGTATTCAGTTATAAAATGAGCAAAGATTCATCGTTAGAGAGACATCGAATATTAAACTGCAGTAACTTGGTACTTGAACGGATGATGAAAAGTGATCGAACTTTGTAAGTTCGGTGATCAATCACATTTACGTTTTAGGTTCCACGTGCCAGTAAAATCTGCGAAATCGGTGTCGGAGTTAAGATTTTGTATGAACGAAAACTTTGCTGACGTAATTCTACATTTTGTTTGAGAAATTAATTTGAATTTGAATTGTCGCCAATCGTGAAGCCTTTTTCTTGCTGGAGTGATGAGTTTTCTTGGCGAAGCATCAAGGTAAGTGAGAGGAACGCCATTGATTGTCCTGGGCTTTCGACGTTTTATCTTTTAATTACAACACGAGAAATCTGAGTTGCGATTTCGACAGAAGTTGTCGACTTTAAAAGAAGAAGACAATCGGTTGGTGTTGTTACGACACTTGAGAATTATGCCTTCCACATATCTTCTGCGTTTTCATTTTTGGTACTAGATGGCTTATAATTGTGATATTTCAAATGTCATTGAGTTGTACTTTTTAAAGTGGGCAACTCCAATGAACAAATGGTACTCTCAGTTATACGCCATCCATGATCAGCGAGCGATTAATTAATATACGCCTTATCGGTTAAATAATTAAACCGTGTGTGTGATAGAAGAGAAGTCATGAAAACCAACAGCACAGGTAATGATTATGCGTCTATTTTCTTAATTACAATTTTTGTTTAATTATAGTTTGTAACGTAGTCTCAGTGGGTTGAACACGCTGTGTTGAAACAATTGGATCTTATGACTTATGCAACGTAAGTCAAATGTTTATTAAAACGAAACAATATATGTACTAATATAACAACGCAAAAATTGGAGCAGAAACTCCTTCCCAAAAATTCGTTGTTTTTTTTAACGTTTAGACTGAAAAAAACAATACGCGTGTGACGGTAAAGTCCTACTTGAAGACGGTACTGTGTCATCCATTAATGGTGCACCAGCCCAAACATATTATACAATACTTAATTCCAGAAGCGTGTGGGCTTATTTTTTAAATCTATTGTTATAAAACTATATACTACATATAATTAAAGTTATGTATACCACGTCCTTAAAAACTATTGTAAACAATTTCAATAATTATATTCCTTCAATTAAAATTTTCATCAGTGGCATCTATTGGCGCCAATGAGGCATCAGATTTTGTAGTTCATATAACTACCGACAGATGCCACAAACGTGCACTACGAAGAATATTCTCTGGATTTTTGTATGGAACAGGGACACATGGGTGTCACTCCACTTTGTTTTCGTTTTTTTCACACTTGTTCGAAAGGACTACGGAAAACGATTCTCGAAATTTCCTTAAAATTAAATAGTTGCGGAAAGAAGTAACGAACCCGAATCCAAGAAACGAATAAGTTTCCGAGAATCAAATAGATGTGAGGATAATCAAGAAGTTTCTGGAACCCAAAGATTTATCCACGTTAGCACAAGTTCTCCGTGCTTTTACCCTAAAATTAATCTTTGTTTTCTACGCTCATCAACGCTTTGGTCTCGCAAGTAGTTTATTACTTTCAGGCTTTCCGACCAAATTTTTGCGTGTATGTCCCATCAAACGCACATGCTACCTTTTCGCTCTCGCTTATGGGTTTAAATTTTTACCTTAGCGCGTTAGGTTGGTATTAATCCATGCTAGGGACTGGCTAGTTTATTGGCTGCATTGGCTAGTTACAATTACGTAATATTTCGAACCGAGCAAGTCATTCACACAAGGTCTGCACTTGGGAAAGGTAGTTTGTGATATTTAGTGTTTGATCTGTGTATAAAGAAGGTTGGTTAACTGTGTTGGGTTGTTTCATCATAAGATTCATTCTAGTTCTCGTACGGAGTAAGAGGTTGCATTGACCAACTTATATGTTGATTAAAAGGTTATAAAATTAGATAATACTGTTGATAGCACCGGTAGTAAAGCACGGTGTTGAAGGTAACTTTAAATTTCTGTGCGTGTTACAACACGCGAGTTATATTGTAATAAATGATGCTTCTGTCAGAGGCCTAATACATTATCCTTAAAACTAAACTGTATATTTCACTCCATTTTAAGACTGCCCAGCAGTTTTTAATTTATTCACTTTAAAACATTTCCAGAAACTCGTTCATCGTTGTCTAACTCCATGCTCTGTAGGTTCTTAATTTGACGCTAATTTTAACCACTTCTCACTCATTCCATCTGATAGGTTTTCCCATCACTTCCTCTGTGTTTTAATCTCAAATTTTATTGTGACCAACCAAACATCACAAACTATATTAATGTTTTTATTTTTTTTGTAGGTGTCTGTATAAATATGGAACGTGTGTTAGAAGTGAAAATTCCTGTTCCTTGGGGTCATGTTAGTGGTAAGAAGGATATTTTTAGGTGAAATATTACAGATTCTATTTTTTCTGTAATAATATACAGTTTATTCGGTGAGTAATGTTAGCAGGCGTTTAACAAGTCAGCTGTTGTGATTCAGTTCATACATTTGGGAGACACTGTGTCAAGGTATCAGCTGTCCTGACTGAAGTTTCCTGGGTTTTCTCAGTTCTTGTGTTGGATTCTAATGTAGTTCCATGAAATTACTAATTCACTATAGATAATCCTCTTCTCACATCTGACATCATTTGATACACTCATAACCCAGTCCACAAAGCAGATATTTACACTGAATAAAATTGAATTGAATTTATTTAAATTCCATAGATTCTTCATAGGCTGAAGCTAAGGATGTGTGTTTCTTTATTAACGTACTGTCATCAGTTATGTGTTAATTATTAGATTGTGTATAAAGTAATTGTAAGTGTACCTTAAAATTTAGGAAAGAGAAACTAAAGATATTTTAAAATATAATTATCATTTCATGCAAATAACTAGTTCCTCTGCTTTGTCATCCGACCCCACTTTATTTTTGTAAGTGGGCTCAATAAAATTCAGTGAAACTCATTCAGGCTCCTTTAAATGAATCCTTAATGAATAATGAATGTTTCTTTATGCTGAAATATCCTTACGCTGTATGCTTATTGCAGTTTTTAAGTAAATGAGGGAGATCTTTAGTAAATTATATGTTTTTATAAAAAACAATCAGGTATCTTTATTGTGTCGGTCAGTAAATGGCAGAAGACGACTCCTTAGATAAATTTATCGTGGCATTACATGAGAAAAACTTTTGGAAGACAGCAAAGTTTTAACATCTGTGTACGCCTTACAGCAACTACCAAAGACTATTTATATAAAATGTTTTCATGTTCTGAGCATAATTCTATCTGTTACTTTATCATATGTGATGCCCTTACTTATACAGTTGACGTGATTATATTGTGGATCATTTGCCAAGTCCAAATTTCACCAATGTCTGCTCTTGGCAATGTTCAAGGTCATTTCTTAAGATTTCATTCTTAACTAATTGATATGAAGTAGGATCAAGACACGATGAAATAATACTTCCTGACATTTGACAGTATTTGTGGCTATATTTTATTATTGGTTATTTAATGATTATTGTACCAATGTTTGGTATTGCAAAATCTTTTGTTTTTTCCCATCACTCAGGTAAATGGTGGGGTTCTCATGACAAACAGCCCATATTGGCGCTACATGGTTGGCAAGATAATGCTGGAACATTTGACACATTGGCACCTCTATTATCTTTGCACACGCCAGTATTATGCATTGATCTTCCTGGACATGGATTTTCTTCGCATTATCCCAAAGGACAGTTTTATTACTTATGGTGGGATGGACTAGTGGTGATTCGACGAATAGTGAAACATTACGGTTGGGAGAAGGTTACAATTCTGGGGCATTCCTTGGGTGGAACGATAGGTTTCTTGTATGCCGCGACATTCCCACAAGACATCGAGAAACTCATGTGTATTGACATTGCCGGTCCATCTGTCAGGTCCGTCCCCTACTTTGTACAGCAAACGGGTGGTATCGTTGATCAATTTCTGTTGTATGAAAACTTTGCTGAAGATACTGCCCCTTCGTACACACGCGATGAAATGCTGAGACTTATGTTGGAAGCTTATAAAGGTGCCCTCACGAAGGAGTCTTGTGAAATAATGATGAAACGTGGCGCAAAGCCTCTGGCCTCCGGTGATTGCGACGTGAAGGGCGATGTCTTCCGTTTTTCACGGGATTCTCGTCTCAAGTATGGAATCCTAGGTTTCCTATCGATCGACATGACTTTGGAGTATGCATCAAAGATTACATGTGAAGTCTTGAATATCAGGGGTAAACCAGGAATGAAATTTGATCCTGCAGAAAATTATCACATCGTACTTGACAAAATTAGAAAATCAGCTAAGAAGCTGGAGTTCTACGAAGTGGAAGGAACACATTTTCTGCACTTAAATAATCCAGAAAGTATATGTCCAATTATTGTAAAGTTTTTAAAATCATAATATGCGTACGCCAGAAATAAACGTGCCCATACTGGCTACATATATAATATTTATCTGCTAGGAAATGGGCCGTTATTGCGTCTTAGACCAAATTAAAATTGTACAATTTATTGTAGATGCATATGACTACAAGGAAGAGACAGAATGTATTAGTGTGGCTGGATTGGGTGGACTTAAATCAGAAACAATTTTATATTCAGACTATGTTATCTTATCTGACGTTTCCCCCTTTAATACAGGAAGTTGTGATTTTATTGCTGAATCTGTGAATTATTTGTGAATAGTCAGTACAGTGACTGGCTACGGGCTGGACAGCCAGGGTTTGATCCCCGACGGGGACAGGATATTTACTCTAGCTTCTACGTCCAAACAGGTTCTAGGGCCCACCCAGCCTCCTGTCCAATTGGTAACAGGGTCCTTTCCTGGGGGTGAAGTGTGGCCATTGATTACATGAAAAGGAATTATGGTGTTCATTTTCCAATCATAAGCAAAATTCAGGGGCCACTTCTCACTCAAGTCTCTCCTGATTCACTGCTAGATGGCTCTAGCAGACAAATCAAGATTGAGTAGAAATTGTGCAGAGGCAGTGGGCTGATCACTAACTACTTACAAATGCACGTTCGATAGACTAGGAAACCTCCGAAAGGGAGGCGGCAAAGACCAACACTGGGTTGTAGAGCCAAGGAAGAAGATAATTTTTAGATTTGTAAAGGAATGGAATTCCTTAATTGTTATTTGCAAATCTGCCTGCCTTCAGATTCGACGAACGTCAGTATTACGCAGGCTTTGAGCGAAAGATTTTTGTGAAACTGCATGAACATAATAATTATTTAAGACCTTATTATGGTCATCTTTCTTTCATCAGTATTACCAACATAGCTACTACCCTCCAAATCATCTGGTCTTTTTGTTGTATGTGTATTTTATTTTGCTATAAAAGTAGAAAATAATACTTGACAAATTTTTGTATTTGTGAGAGCTGAATTGGAAAACGAAGATGGCATAAAGACGAGGAACTTAATCGTTTGTACAGATAAACTGTTCATGGTAGTTTTATCAGGGGCGGGGGTGACATTTTTGTGAAACAATAAGTACATACAGAATTTTGGGAATTGGTCTCTTGTAGGGCCAAGAGAGAGATGGTTAACATTTTATGGAAAATGGTTGTATGTTAACTTGGTTCAAGGAGCCCAGGATAATGTTTAATGATGGGTATTGGAATTTGTGGCTGTGAATCTTGAGGTTATGCAATAAAATAATCAGACTGATTCTATATAAACTATTTTATTTAATCACTGCTTTTCTTCAGACCTTATCTCAGTGCCTTGAAACATTACTGAAAGATCTGTCAATGTTGTTGTCATATTGCTGTGAAAATCTTCAGAAGATTTGAAATTAGGTACATTCAGTGGAATTTTCAGTTTCCGAAAGAGCTTTTTATCCTTTACATGCGATGAGATACTCGGAATGTTTGCATCAGAGACACGGTAATTTTGTTTTCGTGTTTCATACTGGAAGACCTAGGATGTATCATGGATTTACAAAAGCTTAAGTTTCTACAGAATCATTTCTGAAACGTCCGTATGGATTCTTTCCTTGTCTGTTCGTTTGCTCGTACTGAGATATTTTGGCATCGTTTTTGCAAACGCTTTCATCAAGTTCGTATTTTCGGTTAAATTCACTTCCAGAAATCTGTCTTCTTTCATTCCGTGCGCCGACTTACAGACAGCCTCGTTAAAATTATCTGTCAATAGTTTAAATAACTTTTTCAACATCTGAAATTATTCTTGATGTTATACACATTATTCCAGCACCACAGACTTCTAGGATTCTGCGTCGCCAGTATTTTTCACCAGTTTCTTTGTCTTCTTTCTTAACATAAACAAAAAACTGCTATTAAAAGAAATTAAAGTGATAATTTGAACGAGCATTACATGTACCACCACATGAACAAAAAATCAGTCTCTTTACTTTATTGTTAAACATAATATTATTAAATAGTTGTTCCTTCCAAGAGGTGTGTTCTGTTGTTAACATAACCTGTCAACGCTACAGCATTGTTAGGTTGCAAAATTTTGACATCTTCCCTAGATTATATACTAAAGGCATTTTACAAGTAAACAAATGTCTGGAAATCTTGAAGATGCCTTAAATTATATTTCGTACGAGGAAGTTTTTTTAAAAATGTTTGCACTCGTCTTAAACATTTTATTTTTATAAGTCAAAATTTTTAAAAAAAAAAATTTACGCTTGCGATAGAACAGCTGGGTTTCTAGTCCCTCTGTTGCTGCCTCATATTGTTGTATTGAAATGGATAAATGTGACGTAGGTTCCATATTGTTGATCGTGTGTAGTTATTGTATTGTTGAATGATGATAGTTTGTAGTACATTGTCCAATATCATCTTTAACAGTTCCTTATTACTAGCTTTATGTTCATGATAACAATAAGTGGTGCTGGCACTATATCAAACAGTTGTGATACAATGTTAACTAACAACTTTCATAATAGTATTAAGAAAGTGAACAATGTGTGGGCCTACAAGTTAAATGGTTTTCTTATTTATTAAATCTGAATATTTGTGATTATTTGCCTAATTATTAAAATGAGTTACATTGTCTGTTAGACAGTCCTGTAGTAACAGATGTAATTTTGTTTATTACACGTGTATAATCATTGTTGTGTTTATGATTTTTAACCTCATTATTCTTTTCCCACATGACATTGTTAAAATGCATATCAACTGTCAATTGTCACGTTTATGTGCCATTTAACAATGACATTTCTATCTTTTTTCTCTTACTATTTATTATTTAAACAAAGAAAGTAAGGTTATACACGTCAGCCCATATGATTCTTAAGCGGATGACGCGAGGAAAAATTTAAAGGTTCTTAATAGTATCATATTGGTATAGCTCGTATATCTTCAGTAATGAATGACATTCATTTATTTTTATCTCTGGTGACATGCATTAATTCGTATCTTAGGTGGGGTTTTAACCTGTGATCTCTCGATGCTCCTTTGGTCCGTAATTTTCTGTTATCAGTATACTTGAAGCAACAGTTCGTATCTTACATGTACCAAAGATTTCTGTATGAACTAACTGTAAAATAGTTTCCAAGTAATCGTCTGTTTATATAATCTGTTTGAAACAGTATGAGCGAGGTTAGCTCAGTCAGTGTATAGTCCGACTTAAGACTGGACTACCAGGGTTCGATCCCTGACCGGGGGAAGGGTATTTTTCTTCTAGCCTGTGTGTCCAGATTGGTTCCGGGGCCCATCTAGTGGGTACTGAGGGGTCCTTTCCCTGGCGCTAAAGCATGCTTGGGACACCATCTAGTGCCGAAGTCAAGAACTAGTAGGACCGTGTATGAATAAAGAAAAATATTACGTTTTGGAGACCGTCTTCTTAACCTTGTTCTTCAGATGCAGTTTTTCAGACACTGTTACATTGGTGAAGTCCAGGGATCGTAGCTGTGGTAAAGTGCTCAGAATTCTAGTTCGGTACTTCTTATGTTCTTCCAGAGGATTTCCATGCAGTGTAAGGCTGTAGAGTTGCGAGAGATTTTTTAATGTTTGTAGAACTTTGCCAAGTTCAGTAAGGAGGTTCCCATGTAGGTACATAATTTTCAAGCCGGAGAGTTCAACCAACTCTGCAGAAAGGGACGTTAGCTTGTTGAAGGACAGATCGAGCCACGTTAATTGTTCAGGCCTCTCCACTATCTGCAATGCCACAAAGCGAAAGCAGAGTACGTACATATGACAACTGTTTTACTAAACGCATACATGTATAAAAACCCACGTTATAGCAGGGTTTCTCAACTTGTTTTTTTAGAGTTTTGTGTTTTTATGCAATATTTGGACACAACGCATAGCAGATGTGACCATTATGAATTTCTGTTCAATTTAGTGTTGGGGGGGATCGACACAGAAAGACAAGAGAAATGTTTATCGTAATTTCTGCTGCTCTAGGTTTATTGCACAGAAAATTAGTAAAGGGCTAAAACTTTCGAACGCAGAAATGTGTATTCTGTAATTTATATTTTTATTAGAAAGACGTATTGTCTTTGTGCTATGACGTGTGCTACATTCTTGGTTTAGGACTATTAAGGATCTGTGGAATGTAAATAAATTATATTTTATTCCATTCTGTACATTCATAATGTAAGATGTATGTCACGTCTAACAAAAGAAAATTATTCCGTTCTGTGCATTCGTAATATAGGTTATAAATTTCATCCAACAATGTGATGTGTTAGCTGTCACTCACTTTCAGCACGACTATCGCACTTTTTTTGTCTTCTTTTTTTTGAGCATTATTTTTAAAGGAATAATAGCAACATACTTCCTAAGTCTTAACCTCGTATTGGAATAATAGCAACATACTTCCTAAGTCTTAATCTCGTATTTCACTGTAAAGCCGGTGGATATCCAAACCTGGTAGATTGTTGCGTATATCCCTCGGATTGACATCAGCTGGTTATTGTTGATACGGATAGAATGACAGTTGTAGAGACCTGACGCAGATTTTCGGTACCGTTTTACACCACGTCTTGGTTTTGCCCCACCGAGGTCCTCCACGACAGTGAGGTTTCGGAATGAAAAATCCAGTGGTGGACTAGCATCCGCTGCCGAGATCATCATCTACTGGTGTGCAGTTCGTGAACTTTCCTTGACAATGTAAGATGCACTTTTATTACTTTCATCGCGACTTTGGTCGGAGGAATTACTCCGGTAACAGCCACACTCCACATGCCATATATTATTATTATTAATTACCAAAGCATTTCAAATTTGAATAGGAATTTTCATCGCAGCAAGCTATTATTAATTCCCTTACCCGTTGTATGTTGGGCAGTTTTATCGATACACGCACGTCCTACGTACACACACGTGTCCCTACAGGATAGAATTTTTATGGGTTCCTGGGCAGTGGAGACGTCAAGACACAATGAAAATTCCGGGGGCAAATTTGAATTGTCCCCAGAAAGGTTGCAACTCACTTGTTTGTTTCATTTACTAAAAATAAGCCTTTTTGTGCACAAAATCTTCTATCGCGATCAACGCCAGATCATGTGCTCACTTAGGTATCGTGGAAGGATAATATTAAAAGGGATCTTAAAAAAATGGGGGTAAGGATTTGGGTTGGATACTTGTGGGGTCATACCAGATTTTATGGCAATTGATTAATTTGTTTATAAGTCTCAAAGCGTACACGTGGAGGCATGATAACGTGACTTCGATGTATTGCTTCGTGTTTATTTTAAAATGATTTTGTTTGGACTTTAGCCTTGAGAGATAGGTGAGTTGGGTAATCGGATAGGTTCAACAACGTATTTCTGCTCTAAAAAGTGTCGTGCGCTTACTTTTATTTTTATTCGCATTGTTGGCCGATTACGTAACTTGGGAATGCTGTCGTTAACGGATACTGATAGTGATTCATGGTGATAACGCATTTTTAAAAGCTGAGTCATTTAAGATGTGACAGGCGTGTGTTGGCGTATTTGCCATTCCCCTTCCTACTCTATTCGAATAACTCGCTTGGTATCAGCATAACGCCACAAAAGACCAGTCCACATTTTTTTTATTATCGTCTTCCTGTCATTAAAATTAACATGGCGGCAGTGCGAACTTCCAGAGTATGTTCTTCCCAGAACTTGTTTCTTTGTGCGTGTTTGCTCTTTTAAACGAAAAAATTTTCGGTCTAAACTACGCATCTTGAGTTTCTATTGTTGTTCAAGTTTCAGGTTCTATAACCTGGCTTCTTCTGAGAATGTGAATCATTTAAGCATTTGATAGGACTTCTTTTAACAGGGATCAACCCATCGTAGCCTTTTTCTGAGTGTTAAAGCATTTAAGCGAGGAGAAAAGAGGTTATGTAAGGTATATCGCGACAAACTTTAATGGTTGTGTGGCGAAAAATGGAACTAATGATAATCGCCATTCGATTTAATGGTCATAGACTGACACCAGCGCTCCAACTTAGGTAACCAATGGCCTTTGTATTACACGTTCGTAAAATGTTGAGTAGGTTATGAAATATGCTGATGGTAATTACATGGCTAAAAAGATTGTTTTATTTTATTTTGGTTCTCATGTCGTCTTCGTATTTTGCCTTGAGTTTGTTCAGCTGTAGTTCTGTGGGGCAGAAGTAGGTCCTTGATCGAAGTTTGGCTGACTCAACTTCTAGTTCCTAAAATGAAGATGCAATCTGTTACGACGTTCGTCAACTCATGATGGTGTAAAGACAGGAATTTACAACTTGGTATCCTGTCATT